TATCCCCGCTCGCCAGGTCCCCAAAATGAGTTACAAAAGAACAGACGGGGGTCCTGGAGCTCTTCTTCTCCCACCTGTTGGCCATTCAAACCCCCGTTCGGCCCGTGGTACATCTTGTTTAGGGATGTCGAGGACTGCGACCGGCGAGGTTCTGGTGGTTGCGCCATTACGGCTGTGATGATTGAAATTCGTTCGTTGGACAGTGGCTGGGGTCGTACAGGTCGTCGTCGTTATTCCTGAGGGATTGCGCGTCGTGGAAGGCCAATGGGATGACCCGTGGAATGGATGAGACGGACAAAAAGCGACTGATTTCAGTTCGAAGTTGAGATGGCGGTGTTGTTGTCACCTCAGACATTGATTACGTAATTGTCTTTCGCCCCTTCAAACACTAAGCTAGGCCTCCTCCTGTGGCTTGCGCGACTTTATCCTTGCTTCTTACATCTCTCGTCAGCATTTCAATATGGCCCATCTCCCAGGGGCTCAACAGCGCCGCCCTATCGCAAACCTCCCCCACCAACACCAGCGCCCACAACCCCCCGCCCCACGCGTCACACCATACACCCCAGACAACCGCGAGCTCTATGCCGGCCCCCGCAACAGGCTGTTCCTCGCCCTCCGCTCATCCATCCCATCCGAGGTCGACTGGGCCCTTCCAAGACTTGTAGTTGCCAGCTTTGATGCTCCGGATTCCTTCAAGCTCGATTCGTGGGTCGACAGCGTAGGGGCACTCAAAGAGTGGCCGACCAAATGGCTGGAGGGTCTGGAGAAGGAAGCTGCGGCTTTCGAGCTGAGACAGGGCCGATTGGACTTTGCGGATGTCAAAGGCGAAGACAGGTCTGCCAAGCGGTTAAAGAGGGACCTGGTCCTATCTACAATGCCAGAATGGCTCAGTGATCCCGCGGTCGAGAAAAGAGCCACCAACTCGCTGCTCATCTTGCGAAACGCGTCGTTTAGCGGACCAAACGCAAAGACCATCTGCAAAGAGCCCTTCTTGGCCTTTTTGAACGACTTCTTCAGCCTGCCGATACCGTTCCTCCAACATCTGTTGCTGCGGTCTCCCGAACCGGTCCATCACATCTTTGCTACCATCCAATCGATATTCCCTGCCATGAACACCGAAATCCCTGGCATCAGAAGAATATTCGGCGAGGTCTTTCCTCGTCTCCTGATGGAGTCTTCCGATATCGCGGTCGCGAACGATGTCCTCCCTATCTTGATCATGGGCCAAACCATCCCCAACATCACTTATCCTCCTGAACTCGTCCCCTACCTCCTACGTCTGCTCGCCTTGCGCCCACCGGGCGCTACACTCGATCTCGTACTCGACCTCATCACAGCGTTCACCCTGAACCCAGTCTATGCCCGCCAAATCCTCTGTGACCCAAATTTTATGCAACACCTCAAGTCGCTCGCTGTCTTGCTGGACCACAATGGCCAGAATCTGTCGATCCTGTACGATGGTGTCCCGTATATGAGGGCCAAGGCTGTCCTCAATCCAGCCGGAGGTGCCTACAAAGCAGACGAGTCAAGCAAAAGAAGAACTCTGGAGAGAGAATGGGCGCAAAAGACGATCGACCCTTTGTCAGGGAGAGGCATGGCCATGGAAGTTGGAACAGAACCGCCCACCTTGAGTGATGCAGCCAAAAAGAGACTGTTTGCCATGAAAGAACCTCAAAGGTCCATCGCATGGTGAGTACTTTGCTATGACTCTCAGTCGTAACTGACACATCTGCTAGGATGCACGAGGTCTTTGTGTACTCTTCGACAGCCCAAGTCCTGCAGGTCACTTTCTGGCATGCCTACCGTGATTTCTTCAGCGGACCCGGCTCCCACGAGCCGCTATTGAGCGCGTCCGAAGTCATCAAGAACGTTACAGCGGCGTTCCCTACTGCTGCGGCCAAGGTGTGGAATGACGCGATGGGCAACCAAAAGTTTGTCATCGCCGGTGTTGGGTTTAGAAAAGGATCAGGTGAGTGAGAACTTGGTGACCGCTGAACGTTGGCTAATCGATTCCAGATGACTCTGAAAGATTTGGCTGCTTCTGGCGAGACTGCGCCCACCGAGAGGGGGCAACCAACCCAGCCCAACTCATCGAGCACATACAAAGCTTCCACGTCCCTCCTAGCACCTACACCCCCTGCCAATGGGGCTCCTGCACTCACGCACCTTGTACACTCTCTCACTTCCTTACCCACATTCCCCTCGGCAAGCCCATTGCCCAAGTCCCAGACTATCTCAGCTGCTATGCTGGAACTTCTCCGGATTGGTTCAGCAGGCAGGTTGTGACAGCGAGGTTACCACCACCGACGATATCGAGAATGTCGTTTGCCGGAAAAAAGACGGCGACGGATGCAAACAGGCGCCCGGTCGGCACACCTTTACTGGCTGCTTTGACTGTCCGTAATCTCGCGCGGACGCTTCGGACAGAGATCACTCTTGCTCTCCCCGAAGATGTTCCCACCGAGGACGAGGTTCAAGCGAAGAAGAAGCACCTTCTTGAAGAGCGTTATGGTTTGCCGATACCTGAGTCGGTCATCAAGGAAGAGGAGAAGGAGCAGGAAGAAGCGAACCAGGGCGCTGCTGGCAAAGAAATGAATATGAGCGATGAGGAGAGGGAGAGGGCAAAGGCGGCTTTTGAGAGCATTGAGGAAAAGGTGGAGAGGATCATGGAGGAGAACGTCGGGAATATTGGGCATTACCTTGGAGACGCGTTCGGATGGTAGAGTTAGTACACTATATTTGGGCCTTTATGAATTTGTTATATGCAAAAGGTCCATGCAAAATACAAATGCAAGTCTGGGTCTAGCCAGGGTGCAACAGAACTGGAATCTAACCGAATCGAGCCAAAGCGCCAGTCTCTTTGACAATCTCCCCACGCTCGATCTTCTTCCTCGTCTCTTCTGCAGACCGCTGAGCAGCGACCTTGGCCTTCATTTGCAGCTGATTGTCGTTAGTCTTGGAACCTCTGGAAGAGCGAACAACATACCAAAGAATTGTCCACAATGTTCTTCTTGGCCTTCTTCCTCATATACTTTTTGGTAGCGCTGCCCTTGCCCTTCATCTTTCTCTTTTCCTTCTTCTCCCTCACCGCCCTTTCACCAGCATTGGCATCCCCGCCTTCTTCCTCGTCCTCAGGGGCACCCTCCGCATCAACTTCATCAGCCTTGCCGGAAGCCCGAAGCCTCTCCAGTCGGCCCAGCTGCCTGAAGCTCCTCCCCTCCCGTTCCTCGTGCGTCTCACCCCCTCTTCCTTCACTAATCTTGCCCAAAAACTCGGTGTCAAGAGTGATAAGTTCCGGGCGAATCTTCTCGAGCACGCCTCGGACCTCTCGCTCGCGTCGTCGAGTACGGGTCTCGTACAAGTCGGCTTCGCCACTGTCAAAGTTGGCTTCACCGGAACCAGGAACGATCAGAGATGATATTCCTCTCTCGTGACCGACACAGAGAAGATCGTCGAAAGGACAGAATTTGACGGATGATGCCGTCAGGCTTGGGAGGGGTAGGGTGAGGTATGGAGAAGGGGGTTTGTAAGTGTCCTTGTGGAGGTCTTGGAAGACAGAGACACCACTCTTCCCTCCAACACTCAGCATGCCCTGGCCAGAGAAAGCCAAGTCTGTGACCTGGTTTCGGACCTTCCATTGTCTCACTTCCTTGCCCCAATTCCTAGCATCCCAGAGCTTTACCGTTCCATCCATACCACTTGTGGCCACATATCGACCGGCACTCTGCTCACTCGGGTCCACTGCGATACCGTTGACGGGACCACGGTGGGCGAGAAGTTTGACGTGGGGAGTAGTCATGTTGGGGGACCAGAGGGTCATGGTACCATTGGCGTGCCCGAGGTGGATAATAGCGGAGTGGGGGTTCTGAGCCATGGATGCTGGAGAGCCGAGGTGGGTAGGGATTTGGCTGAGCATGACACCTGTCGAGGTGTCGTGGTATTTGAGGTGGCCGGCGTTTCCCTGGACAGTGGTCAGTCGACTTCACGCATGCTTGAGCACTGTGTACGCACAACGGTGGCCAAGAGATAGTGGTATGGCAGGAACTCCATATGTATGGGGTCGATGTGTTGTTTCAGTTTGCTGATAAAAACGTGAGCCTTCACATCGTCAAGTCACAACGAACTTACTGCAGCTCGACACCGTTCTGATCATAGATGAACACATATTTCTTCTGAGCCACAGCAAAGAATGCTTCAGAGTGAAGGAATTTGATATCTCTGACAGTTTCCTTGAGGTGGATCTCCGAGTGAAGTCTGCCAGCTTGCCAGTCGAATGTCGCGATATGGCCTCGAGATGAAGCGATTGCAAGATGTCTTTCATTATGTCAGCAGGCTTCTTCGCAGACACCTTGTATTCACCTTCCGTTTCTGGTGTAGTCCACTTTATAACTCCCCATGTCTTCCATCTTGAGATCGAATTTCTTGCCCCTGACATTCATGCCAACTTCCTTGACAATCTCGTCCTGCTTGACTCTCCATGTCTTTTCTCCAAGGTCTTCATCAACCTCGATCCCCCCGCTTTCTCCACCAACGGCTTTGTTCAGCCACTCGTTCACCTCGTCCCTATCAATCTTTGCTCTCTTGTTTCCCACATCCTGTCTCGCGACCTTTGCCCTCAGTTTCTTGTCTCCTATTCTTCCCACGGACGAGTCTGGCTTTAGCGGTGCCGACGAGGAGCCGGTGGCGAGGTTGGATTGGTGGAAAGAGTGGGGTATGCGGGTACTTCCCAAAATGGATTGGGTGGAGGGATCGATGGCCTTCTTGCCTTCCCCTCTGGCGACGGTGTTGTGGGCTGTGGGATGGGGTGTTCTGTGGTGGTGGTTGGAAGATTTTCCTTTTTTGTTGGATTGTAGGGGACCGGCAGAGGCGATGAGGGCGTCCATGGTGGCGGAGTAACGAGGACGAGTTCGACGAGTGTTTTGTTATTGAGGTATAGGATGGCCTCCAGGTGTGAGCAAATTTCTGAAAGCGCTGGTCGAAGATTGAGAATTTGGTTCCGCCCCGTCGGCTGTTTTCATGGCATCTTCGCCGTCTTGTGATAGTTGAACTTGTCGCACTTCAATTTGCATCAAATAACTTGACAACGTCGACCAGAATCTACACATATGGTCTTGGAGTATGTCAGTGGCGGCGCCAGGTCAATATCTCGGATGAAGCTTCTCGACGAAACCTCCCACCAGCGATCATCGATCCCGCCGCGTCCTGGTGTCCTGGTCGACCATGCCCCTGGTAGGTGTCCGTGTGATTCAAAAGACTTGTGCTATTCAGGAGACTTGTGCCCATTGCCCACAATGGGAGCGTGAAGGAGTATATTTACGAAAGGACTTGGGAGATGACAGCAGAAGTGCTGGCGGAGTGCCCGTACGCCCTACAAAGTTGTATGAGACATTTATTCATGTTACTAAACTTCTGACTGAATCACAGCTCTCCCCTCTCTATATCCTCAAGCATCGATCTTGATGACAGACTTGGTACCGGAAAGCTTGTTGTTCTGTGCGAGAAGTCAGCAAGATATGCCCCAACTGAACTGAATGACGCACCTTCAAAAGCTCAAGACCATTGGTAACATCCTCAAAGCCGCCAGTGACCTGAACAGGGTTGGGCTTGATGCCGAATTTTTCAATGATAGTGGGGGTGTGCTTGAAAGCCTCGGTACCGAACTTTCGGTCTTCTTGGCTGGCGGGCCAGATGTTCTTGCCAGGAGATCGAGGGGTCCAGTCGAATTCCTGCCGATCATGTCAGTGCTTTGAAGCGTCGCAAAAGAGGACAGAAACTCACCTGACCAAAGAGCGTGTACATAAGGGTCCACTCGCTAAAGAGGTTGGGGTTGAGATCCTTGATGTCCTTGGGAGTGGGAAGGATAGCATTGAGCTGCTTGCCCTTCTTGCCCAAAGCCGCAACAATGATCTTGAAGCTGTCACCTTCAGAGATGGTATCGAGTCCATACTCAGCACCACCGTCGGTGATCTTCAAAGCCTCGGCAATACCCTCCTCTTGGTTGTGGTAGTCGACAGTAGCGTCGGCGCCGTAAGACTTGACAAGGTCGTAAGAGTGGGGAGATGCAAAGGCAAGGACCTTGTAGCCGAGGGCCTTGGCGAGCTGGACGGCAAAGAGACCAACAGAAGTGGAACCGCCATAGACAATGTACTTTGGTGACGGTCAGCCTCTGTCGCCTTGGATGTATGAGCACGACGTACCCAAGGGTTTCCAGAGACCTGCTCGACGTCAGGGAACGCATGCTTCTGGTGCTGGATAATGGTCTGGAGTAGAGTCAGCGACACTGTACAACTACTTCCACTGTTATGGTCTCACCTGGAGAGCAGTCACCCATCCAACACCAAAGGTAGCAGCATCCTCAAGCTTGATAGACTCGGGCACGACCCAGGTCAAGTCACTCTCCACAGCAGCGTACTGGGCATAGGAACCCTCGTCCTTGAAGTAGCCACCGTGAACGGTACCCGCGACTCGGTCACCGACCTTGCGGGAGGCAGTGAGACCAGAGCCGACCTTGACGACGGTACCAGCATAGTCACAGCCATTGATGACACCGGGCACAGAGAGAGCAGCAGCGTGCTTCCAATCGGTGGGGTTCTAGAGCGTTATGTTTAGCAACTTGAATGCAAGAGAAGAAGGTGGAGCTAACCTGGGCGGCGTACTGCACTTTCACAAGCACTTGGTTGGCCTTCAAATCTGGTACAGAGACCTCTTGAATGGACAAGGCGCTGGACTGGGGTAGATATATCAGCGTCTCTGATGCAATGGGAATGACTGCAGGCAGCTAACCTCGTTCTGCACCCAAGCTTTCATGGTCTGAGGAATGGCGGACATTTTATTTGTATTTGTTCTACTGTTGATGCTGTCACTTGTGAGAGGCTGCTCGGGGGGAAGGAATGGCAGCGACTTACGAAATATGTAGGTGTGCAGATGAACAGTGATAAGAAAGTCGAAAGAACAGGAAAGAATAGTCACCTCATTTATACGACTTCCATGATTTCATAACGTGCGCTTACTCACAAAAGCCGGCTTATGAAGATCGGCGTAAGCATAATCTCTTCGGTAGCGAAAGTGGAGGCTTCTGTTTTGTTGCAGTCGTCTGTGCAGCCTCTTCGTGGTTACAGCATGAGCCAGCGACTTTGCCCCCAAGTCAAGATGCATACAAGCCAGGTGAGTCCGTCTTCAACCCGATATCTCGAGAGCCGAACTGCTATGGGGAGAGGATGACGATCGCCTACGTCGCGAAAGAGGTGGAGGTGGAGGCTGACAAGCGGTCATCGCCGAGCTACGCAGGCTGGATTCTGCTGGAATCAAACAACGGTGTGTCATGTAGGTGTCTTTGGTGTCTTTTGCTGTCTCGAGTTTTGCAACAGTGTGTTCTCTTCACAGCCTTCTGGTATGTGTCTGCAGCCCCAGTTTACAGAAGCCCACATTCAAGGGTCTCTCAATCTCAGGCGCCACTCCTTGAACGGCTAACTATGTAGTCAAGCCTACCATAATCTCCGTTCTCTTCTGGTATGTGATAGTGGACCCCGAACTAGAAACGTCAGCGGAGTTCTCCTTCCACACTTACCTTACACAACAAACGTTCCCTGCCTTGCGATCGAGAAATCATGTGCTTAGTAGACGCGGCGCTTCATTCCTACACAGCTCGGGTCACAGCTTTACACTGCCAATGCATGATTCACACGAACTTGTCCATAGCTCTCGGAAGTCGACAGGGAGTATACATGGGCTGCATCTCCCTGCCTGGCTTGTGTCCAACACGACGCCTTCCAAGTTCCGAACGCGCAACAAGTGGTGACGTGACGAGCTCGATTGAGGCGCCAAGCCTGCCAGGATTACGTACATGGCGTCTCTGCACTGCTCGGCGCGCATCCTCGTTGTTGCTGCTGTGCCCTTTTCGGCCAAAGTATTTCTTTTGCCTCTCACAATCCAACAACAATTCAACGACCATGGCAAGGACTGCTCTCTTGTTCCTGCTCGTCGCCCTCGTGGCGCTCTCTTTCACCCCCCAAGTCGCCGCGTTCGGTGCCGGCAACATCCCTTCATTCTCATACCTCGAAGACAAGGCTTTCCGTCACGGTGACATTGAGGATGTCATTGCCAACCTTCTCAAAGCTGCTGGAGGTGGCCTTCTCTCCAGAGGTACCAAGTTTACTCCCCTCGACGTAAAAAGGGTGTACTTGTGAGTTCAAGGACCTACAGTGACGATAACAAGAAGTTATTTTATCGAGCACTTGCTGATTCACCCTCTAGTGGCAACTGGCTCCGAGACTACAGTCAGGCTGTCGATGTTGGAGCCCTCAAAAAGACCAACCTCCAGACCATCCTCAACATCGTCATGGTGCTCGGCTTTATGGCCCACGGCTACGCTACTGGCGAATTTGAAGTCACCAAAGAGACCCTTGGCTGCTACCTTACCACTGAGCACATCGACAACCCTAAAGGCTATGCCGATGGCGAAGACGCCAGGCAATATGACGACCGACTCCGAGGACCGGTTGATGATATTGAGCTTGCCATCGACCCTCAGACTGGTATGAAGAACTACATTGCCAACGGTACGCCTCCCTGTCTAGGCTCCAGAGCAAAGCTGACCTCTCCACAGAGAATGGTCATTGGGATACTTCCAAGGCTCTTGTCAGGCAAAGACTCCAAGAGTGTATCCACTACGGTCGTCTGTATAGGGCAAACGGCAACAAAGCCGACATCTACCAGGCCTTCCAGCTTCTTGGTCGTGCCTTGCACACCCTGTGAGTCGTCTTTGCTTCTACATGTGCTACACGAATATCCGAGCGCCACTGACTCCCCACAGTGAAGACTTTACTGCTCACTCCAACTTTTGTGAACTCGCCCTCATCCACTTTGGCCACCAGGATGTCTTCCCTCATGTCGGCCAAAACACCAAGATCCGTGCTCCCAACGGCCGAGATGTCTACCCCCTCGTCACTGGTACATTCGGTGGTGCCGACTTTATTCATTCTTTGATGGGTGAAGCCACGGACCACCTCAGTCAATCTTCCGTCTCCGACCTATCCAAGCAGATGACCAATGCGAGGTCCATCTCGGAAGGCCAGACCAGTTCTGCGGACACTCTTCGTCAGCTGTTCTTCAGCCTTCCCGGGGGCAATGGCGACAGTATGACCAGGGACCTGGATAATATTCAGAACATGCGTGCGGGACAACCGGGAGGTGTTGACCCCAGCAACATGAGTCCCCAGGAGTTGCACAACGTCATCTGGCAGATCTTGAGTTTCAGGGACAGTGTCATGAAGAAGATCGAGGTAAGCATATTCCAGCCATGTTGACACCACCCCTGACGGTTCTTTAGAACACCATTGACCGAATTCCTGGTCTCGCTGGCATTGTCGAAAAGATCTCCAACTCCGTCTCCGTCTTCATCATCACCACCCTTGAGCCCTTTGTCAAGCCCCTCCTCGGCACAGCAACGCAGGCTCTCGGTGAGTCCTCTCAAGCCATCATCGACTCGCACGACCAGTACGAAGTTTGGACCAACCCCAACGCCTCGGACCCCACCCACTCTTACCTTTCCAAGGACCACTTTGCGTTGATTCTCAACCAGCCTGCTGGTGAAATTGCAAAGATCGTGGTGGAGCACACTGTCAACCTTGTCGTGAAGGCTTGGGATGACACCAGTATGAACACCAACCAGGTCACCGAGAGCGCGCTCGAGGCTTTCCATCACCCTGCTTTTGCTACTGGAAATTGTAAGTGTTATGAATGCTGCCGTTTCTTGCACTGACTCTTAAAAGCCGAGATCCAGCGAAAGATGATTGACAAGATGCGCGAGTGGTTCGAGAGCACTGGCAAAGACAAGAACGAGATTATTCGTCGTCTTTCCTCTGCCAACGTCAAGGAAGGCAAGAACAAGCGAATCGGAGACACTTCCACCGAGACTGGTCATGTCCACAACCAACTTTTGCCCGAGGGCGGTCTGCAGCAGGTCATCGCTCAGCAGAACATCCATGTGCCCGGCGCGCAGTACCTGAATGACGCGCAGGATTTGGCATCGGGAAAGATGGTGAGCAGTGTCTGAACGTGCTACGGGCGACGGCTAATCGAATACGTAGCCTTGGCAGCAAGGTTTCGGAAGCGGTGGACAGAACGCCTGGCGAGATGACTCGGGCAACTCTGGAAGCGCCGCTACTGCTGGAGTCGCCACTGCTGCCGTTGTCGGCGGTGCCACCTCTGCTTACCATCAGACCTCTACCAACACCTATGGCGGCGCTGACTCTTCCTACGGCAACGCCGCTCCCCAACAAACCTACCAGTCCTACCAGTCCCACCAATCTCACCATCAGCAACCATCATACGGTTCTCAGCCATCTTATCAATCTCCCACGCAGCAGAACTTTGGTTCCCAGCCTGCTTACGGTGGTGGTGGGAATGAAGGATACCCTGGGCAACACCACGGACACCACAACTCCGGTTCTTACGGCGGCGGCGGTGGCGGTGGCTTCGGCGGGCCTCCTCCCCAGCAGTACGGTGCGCCTGGAGGGTTCCAGGGGGGTGGGTTCCAAGGTGGGCCTCCTCAGCATGGGCAGGGTGGATTTGGTGGGCCTCCCCAGTATGGTCAGCAGCATGGAGGGTTTGGAGGTCATCCCCAGCAGCAGTGGGGGCAGTACCCTGGTCACCAGGGTCCTCCTGGAGGCTATTAGATGATGAAAAGTCTGGATCACGGTTTTGGCGGGTGTGATGACGAGCTGAACGAAGATTGAAGACGAGACGTGATTTCTACATATAAATGCCGTACGATACGAGATGCGAGCAATTGAAGCTGTTACTGCTGCCTATGATATGAACCGAGGACTGGTTGAGCCTGGGCTCCGAATATCCTCTATGAGTGACTGGTACGAACCAAACAATGAGGAGACACCTTTGCGGATTTGGTTCCGTTAGCAACAGCAGCCAGCACCAAGATGGCCCTCTGTGCACTTCTTTTTTGTAATCAGGAATCCGAAATTCAGCTTCTCCGATAACCATAAAGTGTTCCCACATCACTCGACATCTACAACAATCAAATCACCTCAGACACAAATCCTTCGCACGACAATGAGCCAGCTTTCAGACCTCGAACTCGTAGCGCAAGCCATGTCCGGCTCAGAGCAGCCCCCAGCCTCCAATGGCACAGCTCAAACAACAAACGGCGCCCACGCCGGTATAAACCTATCCTCACTGCCAAACGTGGACCCCTCCTCTCTCCTCCCCGCCGACCTCGCGTCTCTCCATCCCCTCCTCGCATCCCTATCTCTCTCCCCAGAAGATCTCGACAATCTTGACGAGGGAGAGATCGGTGCTATTCTGGGACAGCTGGAAGCGGCGGATGGGGTGGCGGATGATTTGGAGGGAAAGCTGGATAAGTTGTTGGAAATGCTCGGTGGGGTTGAGGAGGAGATTGTGGGAGGGAAGGGTGAACTGCAAGAAGGAGAGTCATTGCAGAAGACAGAGGGCGAGAAGAAGACGCCTGAAACCGAAGCAAAGACTGAAGGAAAGAAGCAAGCTTAGGTGGACGGACGAAGCTTGGCAGAAGATTACCGATGGTGTTCATGTGAGTTCCTGTCCTTCAGGCTCATTGATGATGCTGATCAACTTTGAAAGACTGTAACTGCAACTATAATGACTGTGATGACCTTCCAGTACATGCGACATGTGATACATAGACAAACACGATGCTCAAGAAGTTGCCTACTGTCCCTTCAGTCTGCCTGTTCTAACAAAGCCTCCACTGCTTGGGCAGTATTGTTGTCGCTAAAACATATCAGCTCATTCTCGATTCACTCCATCACCGACTCACTTTCTTTGAAGAGCCCTGACAATCGCATCCCTCCCACTATTTGGAAACATGCCTCTCAGAGTCTCAATCTCCTCCTCCGTTGGCGCCCTCGCCCCACTCCTCCCAGTCATCTCACTGACCCACTCGCCCATAGCTGCTGTAGTACTCGCCGGCTCCCCATTCGTATCTTCTTCAGCTGCTGTGGCGGTGCGCCCGGTAGGGGGAAGAGAATTGTCACCTGGGGCGGCAGGTTGTTCGGCTTGAAGCCGGCTGGCGAGCATGGCGCGCAGGGAACGGCGATCAGCGCCTCTTGCTGTAGCAGTATTTGCCCGAGCAGCGAGGTCTTCAATCCCCGGTACCCTCTCATTCACCTGCCCTGGCAATACCCTCTCTGCATTTCTGGGCCCAGCCGATTCTCCAACTAGAGGACCAAAGTACCGCGCCAAAAGGTCAAAGAGCGGCTGAGAGATGCGGTAGTCTTTGAGAGAGGAGCGTACGAGGAGGCGGCGGCGGCGGAGGGAGAAGGAAGGAAGAGGGAAGAGGGTGGAGGTGCGGTAGATGTAACCTGTGAGGAGGCCTAAGAGAGACATGAGAGTAGAAGAGGGTGGTTTAGAGAGAACGAGCTGGGGATAGATCAGCCGGAAACATACGGGAGACTCGAATACTTGCCTGGAGAGCAAAAATGGCGGTGAATATCTTTTGGGACATCATTATGCCAAATAGATTGAATTGGTATAGAGAGGGCACAATGCGGTAGTACTGCCATAGTCTGATCGCGACTGAGCACAACGCAGTGTCTTGATTCGTGCGACTTACAGACTGAAAATGATACCATACGGCCCCCCTGGTACAGACCGTATGCCGAAGGGATGGAGAATGATGATGGTGGCATAGGCGAGTAATGTGGAGACAGCCGAAGAGACCAGGATGAAGGACTAAGTCCATAGGTCAGCTCTGGGAATCTTTCACTGATATGGTACTTGCAGCAAACTTCCGGGGCCCATACGCTCTACTCTTGTCAGCTCTGACTTTCGTAATGAATGCCTGCTGGCGATCATACCTTTCAACATGCGTACTGACTTTGTACAGCAGCAGTTCGCCCATGAGCAGCTCTGCTGAATTTGCGAATGCGAGTGGGTGGGTAAGAATGCGCCAATACTGTGATGCATATGAGCGAGCAACTTGCACTTCTGTTCGTGCGACCTGACTCACTTGGTGGTATTGTGACATGTGCGGGACGAATTGCAGATGTAAGTAGGGCTTGATGCCTAGTAACGATGCTGTTATCGTGGTGATTCCAAGGAGCATCATAAGGCCTGTGAGTAGCATATATCAGCAGTGTCCATCACAGTGCTTTGCTTGAGTATACCCTTTGTGACGCCCGCATGTTGTAAGCCTGGCCAGAGCTGTCAGCCCGAGTCGTCGGCGGCAAGGTCGCGGTGCAGCTCACCGGGCATTTTGTGGTGCTCCTTGTGACTTGTTCTTCCAGCGATGACCCCTGATACTCCAGCCGGATCGTAAAGTATATAGAATAGCTGAGGATAGTCTCGCGGTGGAGGCCGGCGGGGACAACGGGACCGGATTCCAATTGAAAGACAACGCGACGCGTTCTTGCACTTTCTCAAATACCCAGACAAGAACAACAGCACCCGGCGTACAGCTTCCAGATGAGAGCCCCTCCAGCAGCTCTGGCTCTTGCAGCTGCCTCCCTCGCAGCCGCCTCCTCGCCCCCTGTCCACTTTAGTCTCGAGACAGGCTGGGCAGCTCCGCCTCTGGCACTCGAGATATTGTATGCTGTCCACTACAAAAGGTGCATTGCTGACTAGTCCCCAGAGAAACTTTATACGACGAGTCACCCAACTCCTACTTTACCCTCCTCCGCCTCCTTTCTTCCCTGCCCTCAGACACCACGCCAGAGACCTTACTCTCATCGACAGTCGATCTGATACAAGCGTACTCTCTTCTTCCACCCTCCTCTCTCGCCACATTCAATCTTGCCCTCTCCCTCCACTCTACCGCCCCGAGAATCGAGGCAGAGTACAATTGGTATGAGAGTGCTGTCCGAGGACAAGAGAAGACTCTCGGGGTCGAGGGATGTCAAGGATGGGTAGACTGGCGTGGGAAAGGATTCTGTGGGGTCGAGGAGCTCCAGAGGGATATGGAGCTTTCTCTAGAGGATGGAAGCCACAAGGCTGCGCCTCGACCGGTTTCACTTCCTTTCGACCACGTTTCGTCCACTCCAGCAAGCCGATATTCTCCTCAAGCCGTCATCTACTACACACCGTCATCTTCTTCCTCTGTGGAGTTGCTAGAGTATCTTTCTCATCACGAATCTCAGTATCCCGACTTTTCCTACATTGTCCGATACCAGCCTACATCTCAGGAAGATGTCAAGCCGTTGCCTTTGGCCGGTTGGGGTGTCGAAATGGCACTCAAAAACATGGACTACCTTGTAGTGGATGACAGGGCGACTGGAAAGAAAGGTGTTGACAATGAGAACACCGTGGTAAAAAATGACGTCAATGACATCTTTAGTGATGTCTTTGGCGACGACCCCTGGAGTGAACTTGCCACACCTCTCAACCCAAGAGAAATTCGAAGTGAGCCGGATGTCTCTCTCGTCATAACAAAGCTCATGGTGTCCTTCAGACATTGGCCTCCAAGCAGCTTCTTTGATCATGTCTTCGAACGATTCACTGAAAGCTCTTACCCATCTCTCTCAAGACTTTCCAAAGTATTCGGCTGCTCTTGCGCGAACGGTTGAGGTTCCCGAGAATATCCTGGCCAAGGGGCGCAGCATCGCTGTTCGAGGCCAGGGGACGCAAGCGATCTACATTAACGGCAAGCCGTTTGGTACCGATCTGAACGCTTATTCGTCAGTCTACTCTCAAGTGTCCTGCTTCGCTAACGTAACGTACAAGCAGCCTTCTCAAGACTCTCCGAGAGGAGCGCCAGCTCACATTTGCCCTCACGTCCCTCGGCCTCACTCCCGCCCAAGCCGTCACGCTCATCTCTGACCCAGACATCGGTTCCGCTCAGGTTGGCGAAGATGTCGGAGAAGGATTCGTTGATGCCAGTGACAGGACGGAAGGTGGTGATGTCGTTGTATGGTGGAATGACATTGAGAAGGACCACCAGTATAGGAACTGGCCTTCACATCTTCAAGGGGTAAGTCGGATCTATGTACCACAACTCTGCTGACGACATTGCAGTATCTGCGTCCCCTGTACCCGGGGCAGTTCCACACTGTTCGACGAAACGCGTTTAACCTCATCTTCACTCTCGACATCTCTCAGATCTCTTCTCTCGAAATCATCGCCGGATCATTGGCTCAGATGGTCCAGAGAGGAATCCCAATCAGGTTTGGAATTGTACCCGTCTTTGAGCCTGGGACGAACGATCTTTGCGAGTGTCACGAACGCGAGATATGGGACCATGCTGATGACAGAGTACAGCTTTCAAGATGGCCAAGGTTTTCAGATATGTTGTCAAGACATTCAGCAAAGAATCCATCCGCGACTTTTTCACATCCATCATTCATGCCAACCCTCGCAACACTGTCCACCAACCTATCGACCTCTCGATCCTCCGCGCTGCCTACGATGCCCTCCTCTCGACTTCCGAGTTGGAGCAGCCGGCTTTGACTCTGGATGAGGTTTTCGGGTCAGTGGATGAGCAATTGAAGAACACTGAGGGGTATCTCAAGAGGCTACTTGTAAGAAAGAGCGATGAGGAGCTTGGTGGGATGTTTTTGAACGGAAAGTGGACACCTCTGGGAGTTGTGAGTATCACCACCTTTCCCTTGCCGACAAAACTGACCTTCTGAAAAGCAATGGCCAAGCATCGTGACCCAAGAAATGGCATCTCAGCTCTCCTTCTTGCAAGAAGAGATCATGCGCAGCGCCAGTACCATTCCAGACGACATCTCCAGCCTCTTCTACGACCTTCCCACCACTTCTCCTAGGAGAAGTGCGTACATCATCCCGAGCAGTACCCACAGCTTGAGGTTATTCAGCTTGGTGGATCTGTTTGAGGGTGAGGTGGAGCAGACGATTGGGGCAGACTTTGTGTATGCTGGTGAGTATTAGCAGAATTCGCAGGGTCAAAGTACTGATGTCAAAGCAGAAGGTACGAGGGGGTCGCCATTGACCATGTGGATCATTGGAGACCTTGATTCTGCCGACGCCATCGAGACTGTCAAGAATGGCTTGTTGCATCTTCAAGTAAGTCCAAATACCCCGGGTGCCATCAAAGCTCACAGATACAGTCTCCCGAATGCTCTTCTCGATTGGGCTTTATCCATATTCCTAGCGCCAGCTCTTCCGAATGCTCAGACGGTTATTGCCTTTCGACTGTTCTCTATCAGCTCCACGCTCAAAATGCGCTTTCCACCGTGAACCCTGCCGAACTCTTGAGTCTTGTCTCAGAGATTGAAGTTTCCCACAGCAATGTCAGACAGGGCGAAATTGTGGATGCCGCAGGAGAGCAGAAAACAACCTTTGAAGGAAAGCCGCTCCACGCAGCTACATTCGGTGGTTGGAGTGTAGCGGACACTGCTGCGGCAGGCGAATTCTGGAAGGCTGGTGAGAAGCTCAAGAGTAAACTCGGAGTGACGGAAGGTGTCCACATCCTTGTCAATGGGCGCGTAAGTCATGGCCTGATCCAAGCAGGATTGAGCTGATGTGGTGTAGTTGGTTGGACCTATCGTCCCCGCTGCCTTCCCTGCCGAAGACTTTGACGCTTTGGAGCTGTATGAGCACAGGAAGAGGGTGACGCCAGTCATCGACGTGCTTCAGACTTTGTTTGACGATATCACCGTCTTTGATCGGTGCGCATGGTTTTGTAGCTTGCTCAGAACGGAAGGCTAATCTGAGACAGCCCGACCTTGGCAAACTTGATCTCAAAGACATCGTCGGTCATTGCCTCGGCCTACAAGCCGCAAGATGCCGAGGGTGTTTACTCAGCGGCTCAGCTCCCCAGGACAAGGATCTATGAACGACTTGATACCGGTGATTTGTAAGCTGCTGTTTACTCATCGCATTTTCTTGCTGACATGGAATAGGTCGTTCAGATTGGGCAACCAAGATAATGCACTGCTTCAGGTCGCTGTCGTAGTCGACCCTTTGTCCGAGCGAGCTCAAAAGTGGTCGCCTCTTATCAAGGTTCGCTCGCAGTCCTGCTGTGGATCTGAAGCTGACTTTTGGTAGGCATTGTCCGAAATCGACCATGTGTCTGTGACTGTATATCTGGAGCCCAAAGCCAACATGGAAGAGATCAAGCTCAAGAGGTTCTACCGAGCGGAGCTTCCCTCCAAGCTCACTTTTGATGTTGACGGGTAAGTCGTGTTACACATTGCGGACGTGAGCTCACAGACTTCAGTGATGTGATTGCTCCTGGTGTGAGCTTCAACTCGCTTCCTCCCACTCCAATCTACACTGTTGCTCTCGATACGCCTCCTTCCTGGATCGTATCCCCCCGAGCTTCGCCTTACGACCTCGACAACTTGCTTCTTTCGTCCATCTCTTCTCCTGTCTCTGTGTTATTCTCGCTCAAACATCTTTTGATCGTGGGTCATGCCCGAGAAGGACCGACAACCCCTCCCAGGGGTCTTCAGCTCCAAGTTGCCGGTCCCCAAGGAGACGTCGCCGCCGACACTCAGGTCATGGCCAACCTTGGATACCTCCAATTCCGCGCCGTACCTGGACTTTACTCCTTCTCCATCCGACCCGGTCGAGGGCAAGAGGTGTATGAACTTGAAAGCGTTGGCAGTCAAGGATGGGATAGCCCGACAGTAGAGGAAGTTGGAAATGGAGTGGCGTTGGCGAGCTTTGAGGGAGAGACTATCTACCCGAGGTTCAAGCGAAGGGAAGGGATGGAGAATGCGGATGTGTTGCAGGAATCGCAGGAACCGCCCAAGACTGCCACGGGCCTTGTCTTGAACAGGTGTGTCGTACGAAGCTTGAGCATTGTGCGGAGCTGACATTTGGCAGGATGAAGTCCATGATCGGCCTCGCACCCTCTCCGGCACCTGCCCAGAAGGAACATGCCGATATCAACATCTTCACAGTCGCTTCTGGCTTACTGTACGAGCGCTTCGCGTCCATCATGATTTTGAGCGTCATGAAGCATACAGACAGCACTGTCAAGTTCTGGTTCATCGTGAGTATCGTTTAAAGTCGAAAAGTTCTGTACTGAAATTGTCATAGGAAAACTTCCTTTCACCCAGCTTCATTGTGAGTCCACCGGGTGGCCGAAACATCATTTGCTCACGTCGTGTACAGGACTTTATTCCCAAACTCGCTGAAGAGTACGGCTTCCAATACGAATTCGTCACCTACAAGTGGCCCCACTGGCTCCGCGCTCAAACTGAGAAGCAACGTATCATCTGGGCCTACAAGATCCTCTTCCTCGACGTGCTCTTCCCCATGTCCCTCGACAAGGTCATCTTTGTCGATGCGGATCAGATTGTCAGGACGGATATGAAGGAGTTGGTGGATGTTGATCTGCATGGAAGGGTGTATGGTTATGCTCCTATGGGCAACAGCAGAACGGAGATGGAAGGATTCAGGTTCTGGAAGTCTGGGTACTGGAAGGAGGCTCTGAGAGGTCGCCCTTATCACATTAGGTCAGTCTTCCTGCGCATATTGAGAGCTCTGCTGACAACCTGAAAGTGCTTTGTACGTCGTGGACCTCAAGAGGTTCAGGCAGCTTGCCACCGGTGTAAGTCTTCCTGACTCAAATGTTGGGCGTTACTGAATGCTCTGTAGGACCGACTCCGAGGCCAATACCACGCGCTCTCGGCCGATCCCAACTCGCTTGCCAACCTTGACCAGGATCTCCCCAACTCGATGCAGGATCACATTCCTATCTGGACGTTGAGTCAGGACTGGTTATGGTGTCAGACATGGTGTAGTGATGAGAGTTTATCCACTGCCAAGACGAGTGAGTGTCTGTAGCCATCTTTCAGGAGCAATACTGATCACTTCTACAGTCGACCTTTGTCAAAACCCTCTGACGGTGAGTTGGTTATCATTTTGCCCAATGCGCACTGCTGACAATCATACAGAAAGAGCCCAAGCTCGTTCGAGCTCGGCAAATACCCGAGTGGGATGTCTACGACAGAGAGATCGCGGCGTTTGCAGCGCGCGTGTCGGGTGACGGGGATGAGAGCGGCGCTCTGGCGGCTAGTGTAGACGAGTTGGCATCTGAAGCTAACGCCGATTCCAGTGTCGAGGCGGAAGTTGTCGAGTCTGATGGGCGCATCGTGGACGAACTGTAGGAAGGGAATGATAGATTCTGAATAGTCGTAAAACACAAAAAGCAAATTGTAAAACAGTTGCATATGCATGGATGTTCTGCCGCGCTTACAGTGCAGTGCCAACTGGGGACACGAAGCAAAACTGGATGTTGTTGAACAAAGATTCGTCGCGTAAGAAAACGCGTAATTTGGAGTAAGTACCTGAGTTCTCTTGATCAGAAGGCCTGGTGCGCCTTTACACTCTTGATCGTCCATACTCGTCCAACAACAGCACGCTATGGAATGGCTCCGGCAAGCCATGCTTTGACGAGCCATACATAGATGGGGCCCAGCCTGAGGGCTACCAACAAGAACGCGCTCTGTCTCGGCCCTCCGGGGAAGAAGTCAATTATTTCCCGCGTGAGCTCGCACCTGAACCGCCTCTCGTCACTCAACTCCTTCCCCCCCGAGTGTGATTCTGCCGTGATAGAAACCAAGGCAGCCTCTGCCTACTCTACATGCTGGTGGACGGGGCAGCGGAGGTCGGCGAAGACGGTGTCCTTTGGGCGAGAAGCATGGGCAGGGGGCGAAAGGTACTGGTGCGGGAAAGGTGGTTAGTGGCCTCCCCTGCTGGTGTGAGGAATATAAAACACGGGCATTTCTATCTCGCTTTCTCGTCTGCATCTATCACGCTCCTTCCCACCCAAGTCGCTCCTTACCATGGACCCGCCCCACCACCTCCATCTCCCCGCCGCCCCCTACGGCAAGTTCCAGCCCCTCGTCAACTCTCCCTCCGCCACCACCCTCCCCACCACCCCCGTCACCCCCTATGACCTCTCTACCGCATCCGCTTCCACCCTCGTCGACGGCAGACATGACTACTTTCGATACAGGGCTGAGCCCCCAGCGGCAGGGGCCATCGAGATATCACGGTGGAGATTCTGGGCCATCTTTGGAAGCTTGTGCATCGTCGTCTTCTTGTTCGCCCTCGACCAACTTATCGTCGGTGAGTCTCTCGCGTCTGTCGTGACTTTCGCCGCTGACCTTCTCAGCTACTGCATTGCCCAAGATCACTGCCGAGTTCGACGCCCTGTCTCAGATGTCTTGGATATCTTCCGGCTACTTGTACGTCCGCCCCCGACCCCGCAGGCTCGGCTGACCACCTTTTCAGCCTCACCCTTCTCTCATTCAACCTCCTTTACTCGCAATTCATGAACATCTTTCCCTCCAAGCACGTCATGATCTTTGCCATCCTCGGCTTCAACGCCGGCTCTCTCGTCTGCGGCCTGGCGCCCAATATGACTGTCCTCATCATCGGGAGGGTGATCAGCGGAGCGGGTGCGGCGGGACTGTTTGGAAGTGGGATGGTCATCATTGCCGAGCTCACTCCTCTTCACTCGAGGGGGCAGTATTTTTCGGGCTTTGGTATCTGGTACGTTGTCCAGGTGGCGAAGAGCTCTGGCTGACGTCAAACACAGCTTTGCCATCGCCAGTGTCGTCGGGCCTTTGCTTGGCGGGACGTTCTCTGACCACGTCACTTGGAGGTGAGTAGCATCGAGCTCATCCAGGAGTATACTGACAGTTTTCAGATGGTGCTTTTACATCAACCTTCCCCTCGGCGCTGTCACCATCGTCTCCATCCTCCTCTTCCAACCCTCCACTCCCCCTCTCGGCCTCGCCGATACGTACACTGGCTACTCCTGGAACATGCTCAAGCAGGTGCTCCTGTGCGACTGGGTCGGTGTCTGTCTTTCAACAGCATGGGGAACGTGCTTTATCTTGGCCGCCCAGTGGGCTGGAGTGAGCAAGCATTGGAACAACTACAGCGTCATCATCTGCTGGGTGGGCACCGGGGTGCTCCCCTTTGTGTTTTGCTTGTATGAGTGGTTCAGGAAGGACAAGGGCTACTTTAGAATCAGGTTGCTGAGTAGAAGGAACATTGGGTGAGTTGCGGTGCTTGTGATTGCGCATTGCTGACGGCGTGAAGTGGAGCTGCTATCTTGGGATTCTTCACCTTTGGCCTCTACATGATTCTCGTCTTCTACCTCTCGTACGCCTGCGTATCGTTAATGCCTCAGAGCTGACCTTTGTAGCCTCACATTCCAATCCGTTCACCAAATCTCTGCTACCGGCGCGGGCATCCGCCTGCTCCCCCTTATCGGCGCCCTCGTAGCCTTCCTGATCATCTCTGCGCTCCTCATCTCGCGCTTTAGCCGATACAAGGCCGTTATCTGCGCCGGGCCGATTTTGCTCATTGCCGCGTCGGTCCTCTTCTCCACTATTAACTCGGGTACGTCCCTGGCAAAGCTGTATGGATATCAAGTGATCCTCGGGGCCGGATTGGGCTGTTGTATGCAGAATATCATGCTGGCGGTGCAGAATGAGCTGAGGCACGAGCCGGCAGTGCTGTCGATGGGTACCGGCCTGGCCGTCTTCGGTAAGTCTACTGCATGTATGTAGAGTGAGCTGACCAAATCATAGTCGGCTTTGCGGGCCGTATCCTCGGCCTGAACGTGGCCCAGTCCGTCTTTGAAAACATGCTCCAACGCAACCTCCGCTCCCAAATTCCGACCATCTCTTCCGAACTCATCGCATCCATCATGAATGACGCCGCGTCCGTGTGGACCGTCGTGCCCGACCAGCTGAGGCCCGATGTGCTGAAAGCATGGTGCAAGACTGCTAGTGAGGTCTTTATGATTTGCATCCCACTGGCAGTCTTGGCGCTTGTGGGAGGACTTGTGATGAAGAATTCGAGGATGGCGACAAAGGAGGAGGAGGAAGAGGAGAAGCACGTCGGGTACGGGCTCGGGCTCGGGGGCGGAGGTGGAAACGGGAGTGGAAGTGTAAAGTATGCGGAGAGCACGATCAGCAAGGCGAACCATGACTGGGAGGTGGGCACATGGGCGAGCTCGGACAAGGCGGTCGTCGTTGTGGATGGACCGAGGGGTATCCTCCTGAACGGTCTGAAGAACCAGGCAGAGTAGATTTTATACAAAAGGACATTCACTCATCATTCGAACGGCTTTGTCTGTGGATAGGGTTTTGGCTGTTGATGCCATGTATCGCGCATACAGCACAAGGTGATACAGTCTACAGTTACATCGGCGTATTTACGCGTCTACTTACGCGCCGGGCTTGTTTTCTGTACATACCGTGCACCATGATCCAGAAGTCTTCTCGTGGTCTCGATCACCACTGGTTTCGCGAGAGTGAGTTACTGAGTTGTGCCCGAAGAGTCTGAGGTTGATTGCAACAAGTTGAGCGTGCAGCGGCAGCAAGCTCGACACTCATGTATAGTTCCTTGTAGCGAGGCACGCTGCCCTGCCCGAGTCTTCTGCCGGGGTGCATCCTATGCGTATGTATCCAAGACAGAAGTCAGAAGCACGCATGGCCTGGGGCAGGCGATAGAGGCAGTGGGTAGTCCCCGGCCGAGCTTGATATGCAGCGATGCATGGCATCCTCACGCTCTATCGAGACGGACGCTGGCAGCTTCCGGCGGTGTTTGGCTCCCTGAGGACACCTGAGGGCACACGACCAGTGCCTCTGCAAACAGTCTTGGATTCGTCTCTGCACCGCCTGCCGTCCAAACCGACTTGCTCGCCCTCCGATTCGTCTCAGCGAGCTCGGGGAGGCCCCTTGGCGGCGGGGGAAGGACGTGCGGTGCGGTCGGGCAGTGGCAGCGAAGGGTCCCCGAAGCCACGCTCGAAACAGACTGTCCTTTGGAATCTCGCACCGCCAGTATATATATCCCAGCCCCTTCACATCCCTCTCATCATCCCCCCGCCAGCTATGGACCCCCCCTCGCCCTGCCCCGCCGACTTCCCTCGTCTCCCCCGCGATGCCTCCGCAGACGCATTCGAGCCCCTCCTCCCACCCCACTCGGCAGCCTCTACAGCAGACTTTTCCGCCTCCGAGACCACCCTCCACACCCCGAGATCGCTTTTTACGTCGCACTCGACGAGAGACTCGCTGGCTGACACTCTGGTCTCGGAGAGGTATAGCAGCCCTTACGACCAGCTCGATGCCTACAACAAAATGGATCCTTACGACTTTGGTCTCGGCAAGGCGCAATCGCCTGGTGTCGACACGCCTGCTCCTTACGAAGAGAAGCCGCCGGCCACCCCAGTACCATCCTCGGGCATCGAGGCGCCCATCGTGCTCTCCCTGTGGAGGTTTTGGGCAGTCTTTGGAAGTCTGTGTATAGTCGTGTTTCTGTTTGCTCTTGATCAGCTCATCGTTGGTGAGTAAACTTGGCACTCGAGCCGATGCCATGCTGACACGAGCCAGCCACTGCTCTGCCGAAAATCACTGCCCAGTTCGATGCTCTCTCACAGATGTCCTGGATCGCCTCTGGCTACTTGCAAGTCGCTACCCACAACTTTTGAATGTCCCAACTGATCGCCTCGTAGCCTCACCCTACTCTCATTCAACCTCCTCTACGCCCAGTTCATGAACATTTTCCCCTCAAAACATGTCATGGTCATTGCCATTGTTTTCTTTGAAGCCGGCTCTCTCGTCAGCGGTATCGCGACCAATATCGAGCTCCTCATCTTTGGCCGAGTTCTGAGTGGTGTGGGGGCTGCGGGAGTCTTTGGAAGTGGAATGGTCATCATTGCAGAGCTCACGCCGCTGAGTACGAGAGGAAAATACTTGTCGGGCTTTGGCATCTGGTGCGTCTCACCCATACAAGTCAAGGCGCGGCTGACGTTTCTCAGCTTTGCCGTCGCTTGCGTTGTCGGACCCCTGCTTGGTGGTACTTTTGCAGACCACTTGTCTTGGAGGTGCGTACCGTATACCATACAGCGGCCAATCTGACATTCTCTAGATGGTGCTTTTACATCAACCTTCCCCTCGGCGCCGTCGCCGTCATCCTCATCATCATCATTCAACCTGCCTACCCTCCCCTCGGCATGAAACACACTTATACCGGCTACTCCAGATCCATGATCACCCAAGTGCTCAGATGCGACTGGGCCGGTGTCTGTCTCTCCACCGCCTGGGGTACATGCCTGATCTTGGGCGCAGAGTGGGGAGGCGTCAGCAAGGATTGGGACGACTGGAGAGTGATTACCGTTTGGGGGTTTACTGCCGTTTTGACCCCGGTATTTTGTTATTACGAGTGGTACATGAAGGATCGGGGGTACTTTCGCATCAGGATGTTTAGCAGGAGGACGATCGGGTGCGTTTCGCGTTAGAGGTTGAAGCATCAAGCTGACAACATATAGTGGTGCTGGTATGGTCGGATTCTTCATCTTTGGCTGCTACATGATACTAGTCTACTACCTCTCGTAAGCCCTTTCCCCGCTTCACCCGTCCCAAGCTGACTCTTTTCAGCCTCACCTACCAATCTGTCTATCACATCTCCGCCACCGGTTCCGGCATCCGCCTCCTACCGCTCGTACTCTCCCTCGTCCTCTTCCTCATCCTCTCCAACCTCGCCATCTCCAAACTCGGCCGCTCCAAGGCCATCATCTCCATCGGACCGGTCTTTCTCATCATTGCCTCTGCATGCTTTTCAACGATCACGTACGAGACATCAAAGATGAGATTGTATGGGTTACAGGTCCTCCTCGGCGCGGGACTGGGGTGCTGTATGCAGAATATCATGTTGGCGGTGCAGAATGAGCTGAGGGAGGAGCCGTTGCTGGTGTCGCTCGGTACGGGCATGACTGTTTTCAGTACGTCCTCCTCTTCTTGAACAATTCAAAAGTTGCTGACAGAGCTGCAGTGGGGTTCGCTGGCCGTATCATCGGCCTCAACACTGCCCAGTCCGTTTTCGAAAACATGATCCAGCGCAATCTCCGCCACGAAATACCTGGCATCCCCTACGCCACTATCCAGCTCATCATGAATGACGCCGGCGCCGTCTGGACCGACGTCCCGGACGATGAGCGGCCTATGGTGTTGAAGGCGTACGCAAAGACGATCAGCCAGGTGTTTTACATTACGATACCGATGGCTGTCTTTGCGCTGGTGGGTGCTATCTGGATGAAGGATGAGAGGATGGTGAGTAAGGAAGAGGAGGAAGAGGTGGAGGCAAAGGCGGCGGTGGGTGCGGCAGGGGGTGATGTGGAGCGCGGACAGTATGCTTCTGTTAGTACGAAGAGGAGTGAGGGGATGGGCTCGACAGAGGAGCTGCAGCCCACGGTAACGGAAGAGAGTGTCCCAAAAATACAAGCCTAGAGCTCCATATATTGTTGTACATAACGGACATTACTGTCATTTGATACCCCGCATTAGTAGCCTTTTCTCTCGTGTATCCATATGTCATTTGGCCTCAGAATATGCATTCTATACACTATACACCGGATCAACAAGAAATCTACTCTTCGATCTCTTCCTCCTCCTCGTCGGCCTCGGCCTCGAAAGCATCGTCGGGAACTCTGTACAACCTCACCAGGGTCTATGGCACTGTCAGTTTTGCACAAGATATTATAGAAATGACTCACGTTGTTGGGGTCCTTGACAAGCACAAACTTGCCCTCGGGCTGCTTGAGCACCAAGTCGGCAATAGTCCTCACAATACCCCACCCGTTCGTCAATGACACGTTCATCTGCCTGGCAAAGTCGGCCGGCTTGAAGCTCTGCACACCGACCACCACATGCCTCTGCGCATCCTTGGCGTTCGCTCGGGAGATGTAACCCATCTTCATCTGCTCGGCACCGACGAGGATGGACTGGATAGCCCATCGGGCAAACTTGGCAGAGTTGTTCTTCATCTCGGAAGCGACAATGGCACCCTTCTGGGTGTCGAGGTTCTTCCTCCAGTCCAAGGGCTTGCCGGAACCACCCTGAACACGGGGGTCGTACTCGTTCAAGGCCTTGACAGTGACGAGAACATCCTTCTTGCCCAAGTAAGCGTCCGCCTCGGCCCTGACCACAATGTCGAATTGCTCCTCCTCCTCAACCGAGAGATCAAACTTGCGGTACTTGTACAAGGTGCTCGCGGGGGGCTCAGTCTCGACGTCGGAAGAGTAGAAGGGGTTGGGGTTGGGAGAGTAGGGCTTGGTTTTGGAGGAGGCGGAGACTTGGGAGGCAAAGTTATGGGAGATGTAGGTGGCTTCGAGGGAGAGGGAGCCGGCAGAGTTGATGTTGTTGGGGTCGTCAGAGTCGATAGGGGGGTCCGCGGCGTTCTCGTTGACGGTGAGGTAGTCGAGGGGACCAGACTCTCGCTTGTCAAAGAAGACTTGGCCATTACGGTGCTCGATGATGATATCCCAAGAGTTGACGGATCGACCGGCAGACATGAGGACGGCGAGGATAGAGTCGGTGGCAAAGACTTGGGCGGCCTTCTTTTCAGAGAGCTGCAACGCATGTTAAAGTTGTAGTCAAACGAGAATATGAAGACTTGCCTCGGCGATGATGGGGTCGTCGCTGGTGGTAGAGTTATATCTCACACGGTTGACAATCTCGAGAGGCTTGTCATTCCTAGTGTTGATTCGGTCGAAAGTCTTGTCATAAGCATGGAGAGTACCGTAGGATCCACTGGAAAGGGGTTAGCAGGGCTTTGAGAGATATGCGGTGGGCCATACAGATCCTCGGGAGCGTCAACAGAGAGGCTGAGCTTGGCGAGTCGGGTAAAGTCGATCTCCTCAAGCACATCCCACTCGGTACCGATAGTGACAGAAGAGTCTCTTGTACGTTGAGGCTGCTAACGTCAGCCAAGTCACTTGCACACCTCAAACAGACACACCTTGTTCCAGTCGCTGTAGCCACCTCGTCCACCACCCCGACCACCTCGGGTACCGAACCCGCCCCTCTGGCCACCTCGTCCCCTGGCACCCCTCGCTGACGCAACACCCCTCGTGCTCCTGCCCCTGATAGGAGCCTTGCCCCTCGCACCCGCACGAACCCCACTGTCGACGAGAGAGAAACTCTTGTCATCCTCATCGTGGACGAAACCGAAGACGGTACCCTCAGCAGCGCCGTAAGCGGTTCGTCGGCCAGACTGGCCTGTCCTGCCAGCACGGGGTCCAGCGGCCTCAGTTTGGCTGTCGTGCCAGTCTGCGATGCGGGTGATCTTGTCGGATTTCGAGAAGGGAGCGTAGGGGATGCTGCACCTTGTCAGCGGGGTTCGTCCGCGAGGCTACTCACTCCTTGAACTGCGAAGGGAGGGCGCTGGAGCTGGGGCCCCATGAGCCGTCTGGGTTGTCGTGAATCTGGGGGAGGAAGAAGTCTGGCATCGCGTTTGTGGTGCTTTTTGAGGTTTTTTTTGATCTTTTGGTGCATACAAAGGACAATGAGGGTTGTTCAGACGGAACCAAATTACTGCCTGACGTGTTATTAATATCCAAAGTTGGGTGATGATTCTGGCCCGTCAATTCTTTGTTTATGCATGCGCAGAGGTGATCTCTGAGTGTACATGTAGCAAGAGCGAGCCTGGCACCTTTCAATTCCTAGATCGAGTGCAATCAGCAATGTCCTCGGTGATACGCGAGTCGCTGTCTCACGTCCTACTGATCCCTCAAAGATGTACAAGTTTTGCAACTGACTACTTTGTGTACCAGCGACATGCTCAGGTGGTCTATGTCATGAGAAAGGTCTTGGTGAGACATACACTCGCCCATCACCACATCTTCCAGTGCATTATTATCCTCATCGCTCAAGGGGTGTATTACATAAGCAGCCACCCGAACGCTGCAGCGGCGGCTGTCCGAAATTTCAGAGATGTACATGGCTCTACAATCTACTTCGACGCCTGGCATGCTCGCCCTCCGCTACTCACGGCGCTCAGCCATACGCATCGCCCGCAACGCCCCCCGTATTCAGCAAGAGCTCCCCCACGCAGAATCCAGCTCGGCCCCTTCACGACGCCAGTTCTCCGTTACCGCCCCTCAAAACCAACCCCAGCCCTCTCCTATAGCCCAAGGGCCGAAGCGAAGAAGGGGGGGAAAGAACGAGCTGATAGAGAATGCTCGAAAGCTTGCCGCTGCTCTCAAAGCGGAAGATTCAGCTGCTACCATCAAGCCAGAACAGCAGCAAGAAGAGAAGCCTGCAAAGGCGAGCGAGGCTGATGCCGAGTCTGGCTTCTGGGATGGCTTGTTGAACCCTTCCCCCTCCTCTGAATTTCCCATGTCAACAGGCGAAAAACCTACCCTGGAAGACCTCCTCTCGAAGCGCCCCGAACGCGACCCTCCCGCGCCTTGGCGTACACGCTACCCTTTACTTTACAAACGCCTGTACAATTCTATCGACCAGGCATTCGTCGTAAAGCAGCTCAGAGTGCTGGCACCCGAGCTCAAAATAGGCTACATCTCCAAGAGCATCAGTAAAAGTCAACTTATAGTAAAGATTATGGATAGTTGGGGATGGGTTGAACCCAGAGAGGCGCCCAAGCCGCCCACGACTTACAATGAAGGTCAGTCGTCTTTCTTACATTTCCAGAGTGAAGCTGACGTTAGCAGTATTTGATCTTCCGCCCGCCGAGCTCTTCCTGTTCCTTCAAGACCAGGCTCTCTTAGAGCAACTTGCCACAGATGCTGGACTTCACCTCTCTGTCGTGCGCGCCTCCCAGGCGCCCGCGTCGCATTTCCACCCCTTGAAAGAAGGGGATGGCGACCGGATGGTACTGGTGGCGAGGGGTATAGATGAGGACTTGGCGCTTGTGAAGCAGGCGTTGGAAAAGAGGCGAGAAGTGAGTCGTTTTCATTCTGATTGAGGTGTCTCTAACATGTCCAGTCCATCATCGATATCACCTTCAGCCAACAAGAGGTCTTTGGAGTAAAAGCTCCCGTCATTCTTCTTCGAGCTGTTTCGAATGTTGCCGGGGCCTATGTCGAGGTTGTCGGTGATCAAGTGAGTGGAACCAACTCGATCGCGCTGAGGGCTGACAAGGAACTCGAGTATCGAATCACAGCTCTGACGAGTGCAATTGCTCAAAAGGCCAAGCAACTGTTGCATATGTCGATCTTTAGGGTAATTCTTTGCGTCCAAGACATCATACCGCAACTAACATCTCTGTAGACTGGTCAAATGAACCAAAGCCAGCCCACCTCATACGCCCTCTCTCCCCCACCTCAAGCAGACCCTACCCTCTCTGAGACCCCTCGCCCCACCTCTGAACAGCGCTACGCTCTCTACCCCTTCCTTCCTTGTACGACCGAACAACTTCCGTGGGACATTGCATTCTCCACGGCCGACAAGACATTCTTCCGGCTGGGTCAGGTGAAAAAGTGGCAAGACAAGCCCAGCGCTCGCTCTGTTGCGCATCGACAGGAGAATATGGAGCTGAGGCCGAGTTTGATCGCGGGAGAAGGAGAGGTAGTCTTTGGAGAGAGTGTGAGGGAGTGGGGACGGGATGGGAAGGTGAGCGCGAGGGTGGGGCATCTGGTGTTGCCAGTAGAGCCGGCGGATGGCAGGACGGGGACTTGGGATTCGCCCTTGCCCGGGCAGTGGCCTCTGGAGATGCTCACCAAGTGGTCATCAGAGGCACGGGGGAAGGCCATCGAGTTCATCTTTACGCCCAGGTAAGCCTTATTCTTTACATCGTTCCTTCGAAGGCTAATGGAGCATAGTCTATCGCCTGTGACCACCCAATACCCTCTTCCCGGTCAACCGACTCTTTCTCGTCGGTTGAGATACCACTCCGCGTCAGAGTTTAGCAAAGTGGTTGTCTTTACGAACACGGAAGAGTACGGCGCGGGCAAAGTGAGGTGGCAAGAGAAGTTTGCACAGCTTGTGGACGAGCTGGAAAGGTCTGCAGAGTCTGCGGAAGAGGTTGAGTCAGCCGTGACTGAGCAAGAGTCTACTGTTGAGGATGTGATCCGGGAACTTGGTGTAGCGGAAGGCGAGGGGCCTCTTTTCAAGCGAGAGGCACAAGAGAGCCCAGAAGAGCATGTGGAAGGTGATCAAGCGGTGGATGTGGTGGATAATGTCGAGGTGGAGGAGCTGGAAACGAAGGCCACTACGAGCAACGTCCTGACAGCCGAGTATGGTACAATTAAGGAGAACAACGTCTTCCTCCCGGATAGGTGAGAATATTTTGTTTTGTATGGGAAAACAAGCACTGATTTCTCTACAGACCAGTCGATGTGAAACTCACCTCGACCTCTTTGCGACCCCTTCTCTCCATACCCGACGAGATCACATCCTTCTTCTCTTCAACACACTTTTCGGCCGTCAACGGCGCCACTCCTCCTTCTTCCGTGGATGTGGAAGGGGAAAGATTTGACCTGGCGTGGGATGAGACGGTGAGAGAGACGAGGTGGAAGAAGGAAGGAGTGGTGGTGAAGAGCGTGGAAGTAGAGGAAGAGTTGGGGAGGGGTGTTGTCTATTCAGAGGTGAGCTTGCATTCCAAAGACATCTTGATGATAAGGCTGATGTTTGACCAGATCGAAAACGAAGTCGAGGGCGAGCTGTCGGAAGCATTCTGGGCAGAATTGGCGGATATTACTCAAGATATCGGACCTGATGCGGCGGCATTGAACTGATCCTACTTCACAAACACTACTCTTTAGCTCAAGTCATCAGCCAGCATCTAATGTATATGCATGTTTTGATTATAGCCGTATGATGGTCGTATAGCTGTTGCGTTTCGTGATTTGTTCATGTGGGGGTGGCAGATCCAGTTGGCCGTAGACGGTTGAACCTACACCTCATTAGCATACGTCAGAGGCAAACCTGATATCACGTCCTGATATCACGTACTTGGGCAAGATCTCTCTCAGATACTCGGAATGTCTAGCCCTCAGCGCCAGCTCCGAGGCTTCTCCGCTCCCATCCCATATCCTCCTCGATGAGTCTGCGCCGTAGATGACGGTATACGGCGGTAACACCTCGCGGGTGGTATCCGAACCAGGCGCAAGAAGGGCGATCGTGCCAGCGCCTGGATTGAATCAGCATGAAAATGAACATTCTGGGTGAGAGCTTACTAAGAATGCAATGGTCGCTTATGGCGACTTGGGACGAGACGGTACACCGAGGTTGGAAGGTGTTGTAGTCGCCTATTGAGGGTGCTTCCACCCCTGCCGCCATGTTCAGTCTGAACCCAAGTAAAGTATGTACAACTTACGACACCCTACCATGAAATGGTTCTGCTCCCCTATACGCATGATTTCCTTATGTCTTGCTCATAGTCAGAACGGCCGTAGCAAGGTGTCCCAGAGGTCTTACCTATTGATGATGATACTATCTTCTTCAATGACACAGTTGTCCCCTATCACAATCGGACCGGCGGCAGCAAATATCGTAGCCTTAGGGTGAACGATGACGCCGGCACCAATGGTAATAGTACCACGAAGGTCGGTGTCGAGGCAGACGATGGAGGTCGAATGCGCCGTGATGGAAGACCTAAATGGGTCAAGGTGTCAGCATGCTTTCTGATTACCCGAGTAGAAGCTTACGGTGCTCGAGACATGGCTTCAGACCTCGCGATAAGATTTAGACGTTCCCGAGACGAACCTTTGTTGGTGGAAAGGAAAAGACTCATCTCGCGCGTTTCAATCATCATCTCTATCTTCATCCACGAATCACCTATACTCTGCCATCTATCCGCCATGAGCTTCAACGATCTCGAACGAGGACACACCGAGCCATTACTGCGAGGCAACGCTCCCGGTATGTTGCTTGTGAAGGGTTGCATGAGGATCCAGCTGACGAGCTCTGACTCCGCCCTCTTCGTTGCCGCCCATGTCCGATCCATCGCTCGCGCGTCACTCGCCACCGCAGACCAGGATGCTACTTTCACCGCCATCAAGGACTCGGTATCCATACAGGTCTTCAAGATCCAATCAAACGTGCAGGGAATCCAGAGACTGGTAGATAAGCTGGGTGGGAGTTCGGATGGCGAGCAGCTTAGGGCTAGTCTGTGCGTTCTATATATCAAAGACTGCATTGTTGAAGCTGACCTATGTGACAGTCACAACCTGACTGAGGCTACCCGAGATATGGTCAAGAAGTCTACGGGGGACATCAAGAAGCTGGCCTCGTACCCAGCTGGTGGAGAATTCGTCAGTGGTGCTCGCAATGTATTTTGACTGAACGCTGACGCCTACACTCCAATCACAGGCCAGCCGCAAACCTATACAAAACAAGCTGTCCAAAGAGTTCACCAATGCCATCACAGGCTTCCAGAAGGTGCAGAGACTGTCGGCCGAGAAGCAGCGGTTGTACGTGGAAAGTCAGAAGAGGAGGATGGATAGGATGGTGGAGGATGGTGATGCGTGAGTCCCAGATCATGGCGTGCCAGCAGTCAGCTAATATAGGGTGAAGGCACGATGAACCAAGAGGGAGCGTCGAGCTTGAGAGAGTCCAGGTGCAACAGCAGGTGCAGCAGCAGCAGCAACAGTACGTTCAATCAGTTCGCATGCGGGCACTCCTGACTAGTCACACAGGGTCTCATCACAAGAGGTCGACTTCCAGGAGACTCTTATCGCTGAAAGAGAGGCCGAAATACGAGAGATTGAGTCTGGTATCCACGAGCTGAACGACATCTTCCGTGATCTCGGTACCATGGTCGTGGAACAAGGCTCCCTTGTCGGTGAGTGCATCTCTGGTGGCGGTAGTTTTCAAGCTAAATACGGACCTAGACAATATTGAAAACAACGTCACTTCTGTCGCCCGCGACACATCCTCCGCCGCTGAAGAGCTCACCACCGCCCACGATTACCAGCGCAAAGCGGGCCGACGGATGGCGTGTCTCTTGATCATCCTTCTCATTGTAGCTACCTTCATCCTTCTTGCTGTGAGTGTGGTTGTCTTGCCTATATGTACCTTACTGACGAAGGGTAGATCCTATCATAATCTATGGTTCTTCTCTTCGGGCTTCCAGACGTTCTTGTATATGTAATCAAAGGCCCTTGGCCATTTGTTGAAATCGATTTTCATTCGCTGCATGATCTGGTACTGACCAAGTGGAGGCAATTGTACATGCGATACATGCTCATGCGGAGGATGACGGAGTGGGCAGCTTCCCAAAGAGATGTTCTATGCGATTGACAGAAACGACCACCTCCTGATTTGTGCCGGCCAAGAAACTGGAATTGCGGAAATCGAGAAAGTAGGGCCTTCTTTCTATGATGACAAGCTTCCTAGCTTTAGGATCCAAAGTCATGGAGAGGAAGCCTTTACCATGCTCTGACGCATAGTCAGTACAGTGTGACAGCAGGCGAGCGGACGACTCACTGCCTGGTACGGTCTCAACGTTGACCTGCTCCAGATCCAACTCCCGAGGTTTGGCCAGCCTTCCCCAAAAGGCTTGCCGTCCGGTATAGAGTTGCAGATATGTTTTGCTTGGCTGACTGTCGGCTCCATCACTGCGAACGCGGATCTGTGACAGACGAGTGACACGGCGGCCGGACTGTACAAAGACTCGCCACGCCACGACTGCCGTTCCGAGGAGACAGAGATACGGTGGGGCATCCATAATAAGATAGTTGTTGAATGTTCCAAACGCACGGCTGGTGTTTCTTGTCAGTTTACTACCAGGATTGCTGCTTGTACACGTACCCGATGATGCCAATGTCCTCCTCAACGGTCCACCAGTCGGGGAATATCGGTTTGTCTGGGATAGAAGCAAACACCATACCAAGCGCTCCTAGAGAAAAGCCCATGGCGAGGTACTTTCGAGGAGAGAAGGCCATAGGCCTAGCATAGATCACGCGCTCTTCGATGATGGTATGGGGGTTGGCCTTCTTTGTAGACGAGGAAACTGGGCGCCATGGCCAGGGAGATGTCAGGGGAACGGGGGGGAATGAAGGTAGGGGGGCGGCTGCAGCTGTTTGATTATATATCAGCGCCATTCTCGCAATAGCGATCCGAGATTGGCTCACGCTTAGCTGCTGCCCGTCTCGAACAAGCATGGAAAGCGTGCTGGAATGCGCGGGGCTGCACCCCGTGAGCTGGTTTGAGGCCCGAAGCAAGAGACACTCTCGAGCTAGAGGCGAAGAGGACGACGAAAGACATGGCAGGGGAGTATAAGACCGGCAAGAGCCAAAAGAGATCAGAGTTGAATATCGCTGGCTCTGGCTTCCGAACTTTTATTTAAATGTGTGCCTAGAAATTAACGCGTCAAATTAACAAACACACGTCAACCGTCGGCGACGGACGCGCTTGACGGCGGCAGAGGCGGGTGGAAAGCACTTTCGCACAGTCAAGAGCAGCCCGTCCAGCCTTGACACTGGTCAACACCTCGGAGACTCAATTCAAGATGGGAGCGAGGTCCGGATACAGCGGCACATTCTTCGTCCTCGACGTCTCCCCGTCTATGGGCGAGCTCAAGGCTGATCCTATTGGGAGCGGCAAGGTCCCCAAGCTGACTCTTGCCAAAGAGTATATCGCTCGAAGATGGCAAGAAAAGGCGAGTAGGCTCTGAGCTATTGTCGAACATATGCTAATCTGGCAACAGGTTTTGAGCAAAAGAAAGACGGAGCTTATTGGACTTGTGACTTGTGGCGGACGTGAGTTCCTTCTCGAGCGGGATTGCAGACATGCGCTTACGACGTGCAGGTACATTTAACGAGAAGAACGCCTTCGAAGGTGCTGCCTGTGAAGTGGCCTGTCAGACCGCCAAGCCAAAATGCCTGGAGGTGTTGATGAACCTTGACGTTGGTGATCATGAGGGTAATCGTAAATCTCCCCTGACCCTCCCGGCGAGTATGGGACTGATGTAGAATTTCCAGCGCTGGCGGCTGTGCATGTGGCCATGGACATGGTCAGATCGTCAGAGAAGCTGACTGCGGCGTGGCAACACGAAATTACTATCGTTACTGACGGCAAGTTCTCTCCTAGATCCTTCTAACCCTTTCTAATACAACTGCCCCGCAGGCGAATCCAGCTTTGACCATGATTTGTACGACTCGGCTGTTGAAAATGCCAAGCTCCTGGACATCAAGTTGACCATCGTGTACGTCTCTGAACTCTTCTACATAGTATGCCGGGCTTACACGGTCTACAGCGGTGTCGACTTTGACGTGCCCCCTGCAAAGGTGGACAAATCCAAGTCCCGGAACAAGGTACGTCGCTTTTTCAATGCTTCTTGCTCCTTGCTCAATGCGTCTGCAGAGACTGTCCGAAAAGGTCTGGCGCATGTTTGTCGATAGCCTACAAGAAACCCACTCCAAGAAGGGTATCACCGACCTCTACCCCTCTATCCACTCGCTCGACGACGCTCTCGACGACGCACGCCGCCCTCATCCCCAAGTGACGGCAGGTTCAGCACTCGGTCTGGACATATACATTGGCGACCAAGATATCGACCCTGCGCAAGCTATCATCATTCCCGTCAAGACGACGAAAGCGACCGCCAAGGCGACTGCCCCGAAATTCTCGAAAGCGTGGAAGCCAGCGATGGATTTGCAAGCTCCTCTGCGGGCAAAGGATACGCCGAAATTGTCCAATAATAGGCTGTTTGCGGGGATCATTGCGAAAGCTGAGGAGGAAGGGAGGCAGCCGCCGAGCTTTGAAGAGATGTCGGGTATGGTCTCTTCTACCGTCAGTCGACATACTACCTACCTCCTCAAAAAGGAGGAGAAAGACCCCAATCAGACTCAGACGTTGGATGCTGATCAGGAGGAGGAAGAGGAAGAAGAGGAAGAGTATGTGCCGGAGGAGGAAATTAGTCAGGCGTGGAAATTTGGGTCGACATGGATCCCGACTTCGAAAGGAGACATTATGCCTCTTGCCGTCAAAAAGGGCATCTATGTCCTCGGTTTCGTCCCCACTGCCAACGTACGTCTTAGCAAACTCTTGTGACATCCAACTGACATTGCAAAGATCAAAAAACAAGACCTCATGAATGAAGTCAAATACATCTGGCCAGAGATCACCAAGCCCAAAGCGCAGATCCAATTCTCCGCCCTGGTCGAAGCGTTGGTGGAAAGGAAGAGCTGTGCGATTGTGCGGTGGGTGAATGGAGACAAGAGTGAGCCGATGATTGGGGCGGCGTGGCCTATGGTTGAGCATCTGGATGGAGAGAGGGTTTTGGATTACATGTACTGGGCGAGAGTGAGTCGGCATATACTCTGGGGAAATGTTTGCTCATCGCCGCGCAGCTGCCGTTCGCAGAGGACGTGCATATCTTTGGCTTTCCGTCTCTCACCACCTACAAGACGAGCCAGGGCAAAGTGATCGAAAAGCACCCGCTCTTACCCACAGAAGAGCAGTGTGACCTGATGGACGAGTTGGTGAAGGGAATGGACCTTGATGAGTATGCAAAGGAGCAGCATGCTTTGGCTTTGCGGCAGCGTGGGGGAGATGAAGATGAAGACATGGGGGATGATGAAAAGAAGTGAGCATAATCTTTGAATGGGATGAGGAGTCGCTGACGATACATAGGGCGCCCACTTGGTTCGACCCAAAGGAAGCGGTCAATCCGAGCATCCACCGTGTCAATGAAGCGATTTTTCACGCCTCTCTGACCGCCGACCTCGACCAAGACCCCCTGGGCCCACCTCATCCCGAAATCGTCAAGTACTTTAATACCCCAGCCGAAGTGGGAAAGAAGGTGAAAGACGTGACGGAAAGGTTGAAAGAGCTATTGGCTATTCGAAAGGTGCCGCCAAAGATGAAGAAGAAGAAGAAACAGAAGCAAGAGCTGGGCGAGGGTGAGGGATAGTGAGTCAATGTTGCAGGCCAAACGGTGTGCCCGCTAACGGTGTCTAGCATTGACGACGACGCCCTTCTGGAGAATGGCGAGCAAGCTGGAGCGACGATCAAGACTGAACCGATCTCTCAGCCCATGGATGATTCCCAACCTGGGGCGCAAACTGCTTCTCAGCCAAAACCTACAGTGCCGACTTCCGAGCCGACTCTTCAAGGCAAATCAAAGCCGGGAAGGATTATCAGCAATCAATCGCCAATAGCCGATTTCAGGCGCGTGATCAAGGAAGGTGATGTGTTTCGGAAGGCGATCCAAGACATGGGCGAGGTGGTCCGAGAGAATGTGGCGGCGAGCTTCTCGAGACAAGCTTTTCCTGTGGCGATCGAGTGTTTGGCGTTGATGAGGGAGACGGCGCTGGGATATGAGGAGGTGGAGACGTATAACGAGTAAGCTATGCCTTTCGCGGGTCCGTCTTGACTGACGGGTCGTTCAGATATGTCGAGTCTCTGGAAAAGGTCGTCAAGGGGGCAGGGTTCAAGCATCCAAACTTTTGGCAAGGCAAGTGTCGTCGCATATCACGACAGAACCTGCTGATAGGTGGTTCAGAATTTGAAAAGGCCGGCCAGAGTGTAAGCAAGATATCGGAAGAAGAGGCGGAAGCCGCTCTGAACGGCGAAGATTGAGAGCCGCCACATGTTGTATAGTATGCAGATACGGTAGCCCACGAGACTGCTCTGGAGTGCAGATGGAGGCCTGTCCGTGCATACGGTCGATCGTGCTGGAGTATAGGCTGATGCGTCATCTGGGTGGAGCTGGTTCCAGAAGTGATGACGTGCACGTGTCCGAATCGGAGGGATCTCCGCTCGCACGGACTTAGTGAGTCACCCGGCTTGATCCGGTCCCTGGTGCCTGGTCAACTTTTCGTTCTGTTGAACCGGTAAACCGGGGCGTATTCTGCTCATCCACCGTCAGAGTGGTTCAAGCTTTCTGGAGCGCAATGAACATTTCAGGAGCATCAGGAGCGCGTGGTGGGATGCGCACACAGTCCATCCCATGCATAGCCCACCCGCAGCGGCTTTTGAGCGGCGATAACCCCAGAGTCGAGACTGACGCGCCGAGATTTTGGCATATGTCGTCAAATCCTCCGCATATTTGCCACTCCACTTTCTTATCGGCAGGCTGCCAAAATTTAAACACTAATGCAGCTTTTTGCACGTTATAAGGGCGCACCCCCACTTGCTTCCCATCCTCCCACCCCTGCTTCTGAACACAGTCACGCCGGCTCCCATCCCAGAGAGCTCATATAACGCAAGCCCACCACTGCCTCTTTCTCCACTTCACAGCCCCTTCACCATGACGGGCCACATCACCCTCAGCGACAAGTACGCCAGCCTCCCATCGGCTTCAAGCACCGCTGCAAACACCCCAGCCGCGACCGAAGACCGCCCCTTCATCTTTCCCTCGGCTCTCTCGCGTCACACCAGCAGGCTCTCTGAGAGAACTGTCGACGATGAGAAGGCGAAGGAGGAGAAGGACCTCGAGTCTGGCCAACAGACCCCTGCGGAGCAGTACCTTCCCAGCGTAGACTATGTCGCCCCTGAGAAGGTCGAGATGTCGACGCGCAAGGCAGTTTTGCTTGGAGCCGTCATGATGTCCACCACGTTCGTTGCTGTGAGTCAATTTCAACCCTTCATGGCAGCAGCCGCTGATGAGACGCATAGTCTGCTACCTTGTCTTCCTCTCTTCTCTGTATCCCCAGCACAGCTGCTGATCTCGGCGTCACTGAGCTTCAAGCTCAATGGGTGTCGTAAGTTTTCATTACCTTGTTTCACCTCGCCTATTCCGCTGACAACTCTTTAGTTCGGCATACTCTCTTGCAAACGGTGTAGGTCTCCTGGTGAGCGGCCGTTTGGCCGACATCTATGGAAGAAAGATGCTTTTCCTTCTGGGCATGGCTGCCTTTCTGGTCATGAATGTCATCTCTGGCGTGATCAGAGTGAGTGCTGCATCGTTCAGCTTTGTACTATATACTGATCACGTCACAGAGCTACATCGGTGTTTGTGTTCTCCGCGCTCTTGCTGGTCTTTCCATCTCCATTTCCCTTCCGGCTGCTTTCGGTATCCTGGGTGTCAACTTTACTACCGAACCCAGGAGGACGATTGGCTTTGCTGCTCTCGCTCTTGGCTACCCTGTGGCTGCTGCCGTCGGCCTCGTCATTGGAGGTGGTGAGTCATACTCCGGCTAGACACGACATCCGCTGACATGCCGCTCAGCCATCTCTGGGGTCAGCAGCCGAGGATGGCAATACGTCTTTTTCGTTGACGCCGGGCTTGCGCTTCCGTCATTGATCGGTGGTGTCTTCCTCATCCCCGCCGAACCTGCCAGGAGAAGCAGTGTCGCCAATCGCAAGGTCGACTGGGTCGGCGCCTTCCTTGTGACTGCCGGTTTGAGCCTTTTCAGTTTCGCGTTGACCCAGAGTGGTGTCGCTGTCAAGGGCTGGTCTGATCCCTGTAAGCTTTTACCGTACACCACTCAAGCATCAGCTGACGTCTTTCAGACATCCCCGTGGTGCTCGTCATTGGCCTCGTCCTTATCGTCGTCTATGGCTTCTGGGAGCACTGGCTCGCCAACAACTCCACCACTCCACCTCTCACCCACCTCTCTATCTTCACCCGCCAAAACTGGAAAGTAACGGCCATCCTCATCGTCGCCTTTTTCGCCTACATCCCCATCTCTGGCTGGCTTTACCTGACCACCATCTGGTTCCAAAACTTCAAGAACGACACGCCTATCATGAATGCCGTGCATATCATTCCCGCCCCGATCTTTGGCGTGGGAGCGTGTGTGCTAGTGCCGTTGCTGGCGCCAAGGGTGAGGGCACCGGTGCTTCTTATGATGGGTAGTATCTCGACGGGTATCGCCACTGTGCTTTTTGCGGTCACGCAGGACTCGACTATCTGGTGGTCTACCCCATTCTTGTCTACCGTCTTTGACCCTCCCGGTATGTTATCTCCATATTTTCCTGGTGCCTATGCTGACCCACTTGCAGGAGCAGACCTTACCGTCGGCATCGGAAGTGTCCTCATGTCCAACCTCGTCGACGAAGACGAACAATCCCTCGCCGGTGCCCTCTTCCAAACATCCCTTCAAATCGCCAGTACAGTCGGCATCACCGTCGCCTCGCTCACCCAATCCGAGATTGCCGAGAAGCACGGCTTGCTCAAGGGGCTGCAAGACTCGTTCTGGTTGATGAGCGGGTTCTGCTGGTTGAGTGCGATCTTGGCGATTGTGACGTTGAGGGGAGTCGGACTGGCGAAGGATGTGGGAAAGAAGGAGTAAAAAGCGCGTGTTGGAGGGGGAGGTTGTACACATATTATGGCGGTGTCTTTTGGGATGTGTGTTGAAGTTTCAGCTTTCTTTCAGATCCTCTTTCCTGTGGCATACATAAAGCTACACAATTATGCTGTCGTCATAGAGTTTTATTCGCAGCTGTTCACAATTACATATCATACATCACTACATAATAATATTACACATGAACATAAGCATTTGTATCGGATACATCAGTCACCCATCCTTTCTTACAACATGGCTCTGGCATTTTACCTAAAGTAGCCTCCATCTCCTGAGCAGACTCCTCCTCCTCTTCCCAAGCCTGTTGAGCTAGAGGATTCGCCAAAGCCTTCCGTCGAGCCCCGAGCATCTTTGTAAGTCACCGCTTCTGTTCATGCGCACGTCCCAACTAACACAACTACCAGACCCATTGTCGACCCCCGCTTGAAGCTCTATCCGTTTGTCCTTCCCCCTGGACTCTGGGACGCCAAGTCCCAGCCCTACGCCAACGGCGTTGAGTTTGAGACGCGTCCTCTGCTCCCTCTCAAGCCTGTCGCCTCTTCCTCCCCTGTCGACCCCTGCACCCTCGCCTTCCCATCTCCCGTATCCTCCAAGACCCCTCCCAGTCGAAGGATTACTCCAGATTCCGCATCCCCTCCCCGCTTCTCAACCACTCCCCCACTGCCACCTTACACCTCTCTACCACCGCACTGTGATACAGCTACCACGGCGAAGATGGGCAGTTTTGAAATCGAATCATACGAGTCGGCCTTGCTTCTCCAGCTCCCCTGGATAGGGTGCAGTGGTAGAGAGGTGTAGGGTGGCAGTGGTGGAGTGGTTGAGAAGCGGGGAGGGGATGCGGAATCTGGAGTAATCCTTTGACTGGGAGGGGTCTTGGAGGATACGGGGAGATGGGGAGGTGGGGGTAAGCAAAAACCTTTTCGTTAATGTCGCATACGAAGAACTATGAAAGGACTTTGATCTATATATACGGAGAGCACGGTCCACTAAACACACAACTAACTACTTGAATGAACAAACTACACAGATGACCCTATAACCATGACAGGGGGTGCACGGGTATTCGTACGACTTTTTCTTTCTTCCGCTTGTGGCTTTTCTGCTTTCGTTCACTCTGGCTTTCTGGCGTTCGACTTTGTATATATGTCATAATTAAGATCCATAAACACAAGATACCCTCACCATATACGACAGGTACAGTAGTATACCTCCTTCACGTTGCTCATGACAGTACATGTAACGACCTTCTAACCACTTCTAGTGCTGAGCAGGCCCGCGTCTCTTAGTCTTGGGGAACTTGACAGGCGCAACCATAACCGCTCGACGCATTTGCCCCGCTTCAGCAAGGGTGATGCCTTGAGCTTCACGCTCGGCTGGTGTAGCGAGCTTGACGTTGCAACCGAGCTGCTTGTAGTACGTCGCAACCCTAAATTGCCACATCAGCGCTGGCCAAACTGAAGGACGTAAAGCTCACTTGGCCGGCTCCATCTTCAAATCCTTCGCAATCCTCCCAACCTCCACCGAGTACCCATCCAACGTCAGATAGAGCAGACAGATCCAAGACAACAGCTTGGCTTTGGTCTTTTCTGTGACGGCGTGCTTCCTGCCAGATTGTTCGGAGAAGCGGGTGATGAGGCCGTCGAGGATTTGTTGCGGCACGCCAGGGAACTTGGAGGTAAGCTCGGCAGCAGCGGTTTTGGAGAGACGAGGGGCAAAGTCGAGGAACTGAAGAAGGCAGGAAAGGTAGTAGAGGTATTTCCTGATAAATGTCAGCAGTAACCAGAACGGATACGATCTGTACATACATTTGCGTCTTCTTGGCGGCCTTGTCTTTGATGTTGTACACCGACCGACACTTGTTCTGCACCCAGAAACTTCTCCTCGAGGGCAAGTACCCAATCCTCTCCTTGTCGTCCTCAGTATGCAACATCTGAGAGACATCGATAGATGACCACTCTTGGTTGGGAATGACAGCCTCTCTCGGGTACACCTCTGAAGGATCACTCGTTTCAAGATTGGGCGTAGGGATAATGTCACTCGGCGCAGTGACTTCCTCCTCTTTCTGCAGCTCCCCAATCGTCTCCATCAGATGCCCCTTGGCATCCTGCATAGCATCGGCGTTGACCTTGTTTCTCTCCTCGCTCTTGATCTGTGCCTTGGCCTTTCGGGTACCGAATGCTTCACCAAGGTCGTTTCGTTCCTGTCGCCATTGAGCCTTGGCAGCTTGGGCGGGCGGGGCAGAGACGGGGGCGGTACGGAGGCGCTTGACTCGGTGGGCGAAGAGGTAGAGAGGGGTAGAGGGGTGGACGTGGAGAGTTTTGGTGGAGGGGTCATAGACGGCGGGAAGATATCTGCACCACATCATGAGGACTATCCCCTTCATAAGTCTCATACTCACTGGCAGTCTGAACCCTCAGTGTTGGTTTGCCTGTCTCGGTTGGTACTGAAGAATTCGACATCCTCTGTCTCACCAGCTACCAGAGTGTGCTGTTGAGAAAAGTCGGCCCTAGATCCGGGATCTCTGGTGTAGACACCGAACGCAGTGTTTTTTGAGGGCCTGACTGAGGGAAAGTTGGCTGCAGGGCGTCAGGTACTGTAGGGCTGTTGCAGGGAGCGGCTCACCGAAGGACGGGGCGACGCCGGTGGTGCCCTCTGCGACGTCGATGGTGACTTCGCCGTGGGCGGCGGTCGACTTGCGCTTGGTGGCCTTTTTGTTGTGCTGGGAGGAGGAGGCCATGCTGTGTGGTGCACAAGATCATCCTCTTTCCACCAAGATGCGATGACACTGGCAAAATTCTGAGGCGGCACCCGCCGAAGGTCAACAGTCGACCGGACTTGTCAACAAACGTCAATAATCACCTCCATCTCTGGTATTCTCGCTTTCACATCACATCTTGGTTTATCTTGGACTCGTGGTACCTCCCGAAACATCTTGATTCGCAATGGGGGTACACGGCCTATGGGATGTGAGTAGTGCCATCACAGGGAACGACGCCGCTGACTTGCGTGGTACAGCTCTTGAGGCCAGCAGCAGCAGCCACCTCTTTATCAACACTCTCAAGAGACGCTTTCCTCTCAAACAAGAATGGTCTCAGAGCACTCACTGTTGGTATAGACGCTTCGTGAGTCTGTTCCATCGTCGATTCTAGCATGTATAACCCAATGCCGATCACAGTATCTGGATCTTTCACGCCCAAGTGGTGCTGCAAGGAGAGAATCCATTCTTGAGAACGATATTCATGAAGATCACAGCCCTTCTCCGGCATCCCTTGATTCCAGTCTTTGTTTTTGGTAAGTCTACAAGTTGGGCTGCACGATCGCTAACATCGATCAGATGGCCCAAACAAGCCCAATGTCAAGAGAAATCAGAGAGTGACAGGAAACTTTGGTACCCATGACAATCGAAGTCGGCAGTTTAAGGCTTTCCTTGATTCATGTGGGTTGGAATGGTGGAATGTGAGTGCTGTTGTAGGATCATCTCAACAAGTGCTGACCAGAGTAGGCACCGGGCGAGGCAGAGGCAGAGCTGGCTGTTATGAATCGACAGGGCAAGATCGACGCCATCTTGTCTGATGACGCCGATGCTCTTCTTTTCGGCGCGACTTGTCTCTTGAGAAAGTAGGTCCTTTCAAGGTCTATTGGGGCGTATGACTGATGAGCGCCTAGTCCTTCTGCTACTCTGTCAGGCGCTCAAGCTTCAAAGACCAGCCAGGGCAATGCCTCTTCCAGCCATCAACGTCAATATGAAGTATACACATCGTCTGCCATCAAAGACATGTGGGGTGCCAAAGAAGGGACGCAGTTGAAAACGGAAGAAGATTGTCGGTTGGCTATGGTGTTGGTCGCATTGCTCAGCGGGGGTGATTATACACCAGAAGGAACTTTTAGCATCGGTAAGTCTTGTGTAGGCTGAATCACCTCCTATCTGACAACACCAGGACCTACAATCTCCCACGGCCTTGCTAGCGCAGGTATATCATCCAAGCTCAACGACTATATCCACAACAAATCCTCCTTCCAAGACGCCCTCCCCGACATCCAGCTCGAAATCATCCAAGAGCTCCGCACAAATGGCACCAAGCAAGTCGGCCGTCGCTATCCCGACCGTGCCAACAAGATCTCCGCCATCACTCCTGAAGAGCTCTTCCCACCTGCAACGCTGGAAGCCTATCTGAATCCATGTACCAGCCCACGTGATGACAAGTCTAAAGGTTGGCCCGGCTTTGGCCAGGGATCGGCTTCGGGCATACGAGGCAAGGGAAGGAATGAAGGCAGAGGCGATATGGAAGGTTTTGCTTCTGCCTGTGAAAAGTATTTCGAATGGGGTACCAAGGACCTCGTTTGTAAGAAATTCGGCGGAGAGAGTCTGGGCGTATTTGGGTCGCAGATCATGAACTCGGCTCGGGAGGCTGTTCGAGCGAGGGATGCTTTCATGCGGGCCAATGGCTCCAATGAGACACCGACGAGACTTACTTCGTACTTTCAACAATCCGTCCCCGGTTCTTCCTCTCGGAGCAAAGGCGGCGAGACACCTCAGTCTGTACCTCCATCCCAACCACCATCCCGAAACCCTCCTCCCCACATCCTTGCTATCCACTCCACCCACCCCGATCCCACCAACAAAAACCTTCTTGAATATCGCATATCTTTCCACCATGCTGCTTTGGCCGATCGGTGTGCAGAGGCCATGATAGGTACCAGGATGGACCCAGGACAGCTGCCGGAGGAAGAGAGGGAGAGACTGGGTCTTGTGGGGAGGAAGGAGCAGGACGAAGAGGGGCTCCCTGCTACCCAAGGAGCGGCTGCGGCAAAGACGGAGACAAGGGTGTGGGTACCAGAGTATCTGGTGAAGGAAGCATGGCCGGGGATGGTGCAAGAGTATGAAGACAAGCTCGCGGCCAAGAGCAAGTCCAAGAAGAAGGGCAAAGCCGTGCCCCCAAAGAAGGCTGTGGAGAAGGAGAAGCCAAAGCCAAAGAGCAAGAAGGTGGTGTTGGAAGCCGATGGGGAAGATACGGGCGCATTCACGTCATTCTTCAGCAGTCATCCCATACCGCCATCGGATCCGGTGCAAGAGGACGAGGATTGGGACGCGCTGTTCAGGATGAGTGATGAAGAGCCCGTGGTGAGCCGGCCTGCTTTGGTACCCAAGCGTGCCCAGGTCGTTGGTGAGGTAATAGATCTCTGTCTCTCTCCCTCGCCGCCTCGAGTTCCCACTGCGGAAAGTAAGAAGCGGCTCGCGCGATCCCCGCTCGCCTCTTCTCAATCTAGTGCTCTGTCTGGAGGTGAGAAGAGTGAATCCTCCGTCCGCACAGTCAGGCGTGCTCGAAAGAAGAGGTCTCCTGTACCAACCTCACCGAGCCGGAGCTCGCCCGTCCCTACCTCAGCCGACCAGACTCTCCCCACGGCCTCTAATGCACCTCGCTTCTCTGCTCGCCAATGGGGCCAAAAGGCCGTATCTTCCCCAGCAGTCTTCACTGCCCGGCCGGCGGCGTCTTCCGGGGTGATCGACCTTTGCAATACATCATCGGATGAGGATGAGGTGGTGCCACTTCCAAGGCGACGGGCTGTACGAGCTTCAAAAGGTCTCGCGGCCGAGCCGGGGGTCCTGACCAGCTCTCAACGCCCCAACGCTACCTCTCCGAGAATGACGCGCTCTTCCTCTGTATCCCTTCCCGCAGCGGAGAAGAGCACTACCAGACCCTCAAAGACTGTCAAAGGGGGTTCCATTTTGAACCACCCTCTCTTCTCTGCCGTCAGCGTCATGTCACCTCCACCGCCGAGTCCTGCGGGCAAGGGGCAGACGCAAGCTTCATCAGAGTTTACGTCCGGGCTGGGGTCTCCCAAGGCGAAGGGGAAAGAAAGGAGCGGCTCCCCCACTTTGCATCCGAGACGGCCGATGTACAGGATGATTAGCGAGACGGAAGAAGGCGAGGTGATTGATTGTACGAGGAGAAGGGTCGTAGGGCGGCGTTGTGCATTGTCATTGTATCCTGATTGACGCATCTTTTTACGAAATCCTTAATGATTGTCCTCTCCATGAAGTCATGTATGCTTGTCAAGCGGTGTGTATTGGCATATCACAGTCTGGCAGGAGTGAAGCTGTACCAGGGCAGAGGGACATGTTGGCAGAGGCCGCTTACCTGGGCACTGCCTGCATACGCTTGGGCTGTGAGTCCCTCAGATTGCACTGTCCTGTATGTGAACCGCTCACTGTGACCAGCTGATAGGAGACATGCTATTACAGTACATCATGGGCCCTACTTGCGTATATGTCCATGTTCCAAGGCATCGCACAGTCACGGGCAGCCACATGGCTTGCCTTCAAATCTCCTCGGTGTATATTACAGGCCGGAGTTGAGCTTTAGGCCGGCTTTGACGTAAGTGGCCAAAAAGCAGACTACGAAATCGTTCAGCGTCCCACTAAATATGGCTTCTGATCCAGACACCTACAGTTGCAACCCCAATACACGACTGACCGGAAGTATGACTTCTTCTGCTCGGTGATGTTGAGATAAAGCCAGACTGTGGAGTGATCAATTTGGCTTCTCCATGCCAGGCAGGTTATATACTATACAAGCATCGAAGGCTAAAGTAGGTGATGGACATGGCGTTCATCCATGTGGTGGACAAGCCAACCGTGTTACCAGCAACCTACCAGCAGTCAGCTACTGCATTCCCACCGAGACGCAGACTAGACCTACGACAGCGCCGATAAAAGGACCCATGTTCTCGAAACAGTTCTCGTGAGCTGCCTGCCTGCGCTTAAGCTTGGCTATGGTGTGGGGCTTGACCTTGCCAGACTTTTCCATCTCGCTGATGACCTCGCGCGGGGCGACATTGTTGCGGAAGCCGAGGCGAATGGTAGCACCTCTGAGGGAGGCGAAGAGAGTCTGGAGGTGGACGAGGGGGATGGCGTAGTAGGAGAGGTTGACTGTCATTGTGGTTGCAGCTGAAAAGTGTCGCGTGCACCAACAAGCAGCCAACAAGAGACCCAAAAGAAGAGCGGGACCTTTTTTGTTGATGGTGACGCACGATCGACAGCAGTCGGAGGTTTGTCACCAGACACGTGGATCTGGGCCCAAAGTGGAGGTTGAACAACTCGAGTCTCTATTGGAGTCTCGAAGTTCCCATAATACAGAGTCGCTACTCATATCAGCAGATTCCGACATATCATGGTGACACTCAGCCTCTTTTGATGGCTGACCATATCCTTTATTCCTCCTAGTATCGGAAGTGTCATGATTCAACCGGCGAAATCCCGACTGTTGGTATATAGGCATGATTCTCCAACTACTGGTGTCTTCATTATACACTTTCATCACTAAGATACAATGTCAGACGGCCAATCTCAACCAGACGAAGATTGCTCTTGGGCCGAAAATGTAAGTACCACCGCCATCCCTTCCCCTGCCCATCAAGGCCAGGTCCTTCTATGAATACACACTCTAGACGCGTTTCTTGACCAGATCCATTCAGGCTACAATTTGCTGACCCTGTCCTCGAGATCGTCGACCTCACCGCTGCCCCCGAAATCGAATACCAAGGATCCCAGCCGGGTGAAGCAGCTTCCAAGCCCAGCACTACCGTCCCGCAATCTCTTCCAGAGAATGATAGTGTCAAAGGTGACTTACAATCTATTGTAGATGACGAGGGGGAAAGAAATTAGATGACCTGGTGCCTACTGGGGTGAGGGAAGGAGTATGTCCTCTCGGCTTTTGCAGTTCCCATGCATGGTAATCCGCTGTCCCGAGATTTGGATGAGCGGTCATGGTTGCGCCTGTCAAGTTCCCCAAGACTAAGAGACGCGGACCTGCTCAGCACTAGAAGTCGTCAGAAGGTCGTTACATGTCGTGCTATCATGAGCTACGTGAAGGAGGTATACTACTCTACAGTACTCGTACCTGTCGTATATGGTGAGGGTATCTTGTGTTTAGGGGCCTTAACTATGGCATATATACAAAGCCTAACGCCAGAAAGCCAGAGTGAACGAAAGCAGAAAAGCGACAAGCGAAAAAAAGAAAAAGGCGTCAGTCCTGAATTCAGAACTTGACGGACGCCCTTCTCCTAGATCCCCTCGGTCCTCGTTGCCCTTTTGGAGTGGCAGGCATCAAAGCCCGGAAGACGGCTTCCCTCTGCGCCGCTTCCCTCGCGCTCGCCCACCTGCGCCTAGCCTGCATAGCCCCAGTATGTCCCGATCCCATGGCCTCTCGCCTCACAATCATTCCTCTCCCCAGCGCCTTCCTCGCCAAGACCGGCCCGAAAACGGTTCTCGCCCTTCCCTCAAAATTGCGCACTGTGACGCAGCCGCCACGGTGAAGATGGTAGGCCAATTTGAGATCGAGCCAAACGAGTTGGCCCTGCTTTTCCGGCTCTCCTGGATAGGGTGCCGTGGAAGAGAGGTGCAAGGTGGCAGTGGGGGAGTTTTTGAGGAGCGGGGAGGGGATGCGGAAGGTGGAGTGGTCGGTCGGCAGGGAGGGGTCTTGGAGGACACGGGGAGATGGGGGGGCGGGGGTGCAGGGGTCGACAAAGGAGGAAGAGGCGACTGGCTTGAGAGGGAGCAGAGGACGCGCCTCATGCTCAACGCCGTTGGCGTCGGGCTGGGGCTTGGCGTCCCAGAGTCCAGGGGGAAGGACAAACGGATAGAGCCTCAAGCGGGGGTCGACAATGGGTCTGGTCGTTGTGTTAGTTAGGACGTGCGCATGGACAACAGAAGCGGTGACTTACAGAGATTCGACAGAAGGTTTTGGCAGTTCCTCCAGCTCAACAGGCTTGTGAAGAGGCGGAGGAGTCTGCTCAGGAGATGGAGGCTAGGTAAAATGTCAGAGCCATGTTGTAAAAAAGGATGGGTGATTCACCTGGGCATCTTCCATTTCTACGTCTTGCCCTTCGAGCCTCTCAGCAAGGCTGACGAGTGTTCTAGAAGGCGAAGGCGAAGGCGTCAAGCGCCAGAAGTGGGGTCTCTTGTGAGCTTTGACGGGCTCCTCGATCTGACGAGAGTCGGAATGCAGGTCGCCACTGACCAACGTATCGGCAGTGGGCGATCGTACCAATGGAGAGGCGCCAGAGGCGTTTTGAGCAGGAGTGAGAATGTCGTCGCTCTTTGCCGAGTCGAGAGTGGGGGTGGGCGAAATGTCACGAGGAGGAGTGGCGAGATGGTTGGAGTGGAGTGACGTTTTGGCGGGGGACATTTTGCGGGGTGGTATGAGATGGGCGAGCGTCTATCGAATAACGTATGGGAACGGTGTAGGGAGGATACCGTATAGTGGTGTAAGCAAGCGTGAGATGGGGATATATTGGTCTTAGCCGGAAGACTTATTATATGTGCGTTGAACAATGAACAATGAGAGTGCTGTGCTTCAAACCGCATGCTCTCTGCACAATAGGAATCACGTATTACCCCTTCTTGGACAATGAAGGAGAATGTATACGCACAGACTATTCGTCTCATCAACTGGTCGTATTCTTCATTGTTCGTGGAATAAAGGCATCAGAGGAGAGAGTGGACAGGGGCAATCGCACCTTCCAATTGTTCTCGCTGTGGAATGCTCAGGGACGAGCAAAGGGCTGTGACGGGCGGTTGAAGGGGGCCATTGTTTTCTGGGTGGGGCAATTCAGGTTCATGCCTCAAGCTGCCCCTGTCCCTGAAAGCTGATCGCGAAAGAACAAAAGGCAGAGGACAATGGACTTTTGATTGCCGAAACGCGCCTTTCGGCAGCCGGTCAGCTCAGGTACGCGTGCACCGTGTGAATTTTGCAGACCTACACTTTTGCTTCCGCCGAGATTTTGGTGAAGAATTGGCTCGAACCACATATCGAGCACCCTGCACAACCAATTCGCTATTATCCCTCGCAATGGCCGACACACAATCCACCTCCAAGCTCGACAACCCCAGCACCCTCCTTCAATCTGTCTCTACCAACGCCGTCCACGAGAAGATCGCCATAGTGAGACTCTGCTCGATGTAGACGGGTCTAGTATTCTGACCGCTTCGGTTCAGTTACCAGGACATGAACCCGACTATTCCGCCTGTACTTTTGCTCTTTGGCAAGAGGACCACACCTTGGGCAACTCTCTGCGATGGATCATCATGAAAGAGTATGTGGTATCTTTGTCATGCCGGAGACGTCTGACTTGCATTGTAGCCCTGAGGTCGAATTCTGTGGTTACACCGCTCCCCATCCCTCAGAACCCAAAATCCACCTCCGTGTCCAGATGTACGGTCAGTTGTATATTTTAGGCTGCCATTACTTGTTGATGACTGACGGAATACACAGACGGTCAATCAGCCGTCGACTGTTTACGGAGAGCGCTTGCCAATCTGAGAGATCTGTTGAACACTGTCAACGACTCTTACAGCTCAAGTCTGCGGTGAGCATCAATCTGTCCATGCTCCTCAACTATTTCTGACGTGAGACCGCAGCAACGACAACTATGTCAAGGAAGAGGATGTCGATGTCAAGGCCGTAGTGGACGAGACGCTGCGAGAAAGAGGATTTGCTGTAGAGGACGATGACAGGATGGACGAGTCATAATGCTGAGAAAGTGGGGACATTATATTCGAACTGTCATTTTGTACACTGGGCTTTGGAGATATGTATACTTGAACGTCTTGCCTTGGGTATGCTCTACCGCGCACTTTTCCGTTTGTTATGCTGCATGTGGACTGCACTTGACTGCATATACACCTCCGTACACTACGTCCAGAAGCCACAGCTCCATGCCTGAATGAGCCTTCCAAACCCAAGGCAAGCATCAGCTCAACTCAGCCATCCAGTGAATTGGCATTCACCCCCCACTTTAGATTTCGTTGGGAGTTTTTTCGCTCAGCCAAAAATCTTTCGGCGCCTCTCTCCTCTTACATCTCATCATCGCCGTCTGTCATGGCGCAAAATACCCAAGCAACCCCTAAGCCTCGGGCGGAGAGGCATAGGCACAAGCATAGGAAGGAGCTGGCCGAGGCGGGGCTGGCGACACCCAGCGCAAAAGGCAAGGAGAGGGCCGTCGAAGCCCCTTCAGCGACAACACCTGGTACAGACGGCAAGGCCGGTAAGAAGAGGAGAAAGAGGCAGGTGCCCAATGGAGGTCCCGTTCATGAAGGTGCTTCTGCTCAGCAACATGCCGAGTCTTCTGCTTCTGCTTTGAGACGGACAGGGGATGAGGAGACATGGGACCCTATACCTGTCGCCCAAAACGAGGTGTCTCGTGTGCCTCCAGTCTGGTCCGCCGATGGCAGGTGAGTCGACTTTGTATTCACGCTTTTCAGTGACTGACTTGAACAGATTTTACTTGTCTGTGGCCCACACGTCCATTCACGTGCACTCATCAGTAGCGCCAGACTTTACACGTCTGTCAACGCTCTCCTCAACTCATGCCAAGGGTCATACCAAGGCCATCACATCTTTACATCTGTCTCCTATAAATCCCTTCCAAGCAATCTCATCTTCTTTGGATGGTACTGTAAAGGTTTGGGATTGGATAACAGGCCGTCTTGTGAGGACAATCGAGATCCAGGAGCCTAGTTCCAAGGTCGAGCATGTCACTTTCGGACAGGTCGCCGGCAAGTGGTGGCTATTCGCTGCAGTGACTCATTCCAAGCCAAGTTCCAGTGAGTATATCGCTACCAGAGTCAGCGACAGCGTTGACCATTCCTAGGCGGATCCAAATTGGCTTACAAGGTCCTGCGAATGCCTCTTTCTGGCAAGGCTAGTCCTGTACTCCTCGGGAAACTTTCCAACCCTCCCGTCGCGCTCATTATGTCCCCACGAAACACCTACCTTGTCGCTCTGGCATCTACCAAAGCATACACGTACCGCATGCCTGTATCCTCTAAAGCCTTTGACCCCTGGCAAGACCGCCCTACTTGCGTCAAGTTTGTCTCTGACCAACCTTTCACTTGTGGTGCTTTCTGCCCCGAAAAGGCTCTCGCTTCTGCCAAGGAAGAGGAGTGGTTCGCCACTGGTGATCAGCAGGGTGTCATTCGATTGTGGCATGGTCTGACTCAGGCTTTCCGTCAAGTTGACGCGGCCACCCGTGTTGCATTGGGCGGCATCGGCGATACCTCCAAAGCCGTGTTGCCCGAGACCGAGAAGCGTCTCCCCACGACCTCCCTTCATTGGCATGCCCACGCGGTGGCTGCCATTGCCTTCACTCCATCCGGCTCTCAGCTGCTGTCTGTCGGCGAGGAGTCCGTGCTCGTCCAGTGGCATCTCGCTTCTGGCAGACGCGAGTATATTCCTCGTCTCGGCGGTCGCCCCATCATCAGCCTTGCTGTGCGACGAGCTACTGGCACTTCTGAGGAGGAGTGGTGGATGTCTTTGGCTGATGGCTCTGTCATCCGTGTCGGGGGCTCTACGAGCTCTATCGCCAACGTCGGCCAAGGCATCCGTCTTGACCCCCTTCGCCCCTCCTCCCCCGACGTCTCTTACCCTATCTCCGTCCACCCCGCCACCCGTGCTCTCGTGGTCCCTTCCTCCCATCCATCTACTCTTCAGTTTATCGACCCCATTGCTTCCACCGTCATCTTTGACCTGGAAGTCGTACCCTCAAACCGCGTCAGCAGGCGAGACGAAAAGGAGCTCGAACCCGTCCGAGTCGAAAAGGTCACTTTCACTGAGGAGCAAGATGGCAAGTCTACGTGGATGGCTACGATGGAGGGCAGGAAGGGTGTTGAGGGAGAGGGCGGTGGCTTGGTCAAGACTCTGAAGGTCTGGAAGTGGGTTGATGAGAGGTACATGGTGAACACGCAGTTCCCTAGGCCTCACAGCACGGCCGATATCACCTCCATGTCTTTCACCTCTATACCTGCTGTGGCTACCGCCTCCAAGTCCGTCTCAGGTCCTCATCCCTACTTGATCACCACTGCAAGCGACGGTGTTGCCAAGATTTGGCAAGTCAAGCAGAGCAAGAAAAGTGAACAAGGTAAGTCAACCTCCCACAACTTTCTTCCTATCTGTGAAAAATTCGGATGAGACTCTTTATACATTACATCATCCTTATTCGTACCCCTTTTCTTCGGGACATAATGGCGACTACATTCTGCAATACTGAAATCACTTCTTCCTCTCACATTGTTTTGATGACGTTGAAGTGCGGTTGCTGACTCGTATGTCACAGGCAAGGTCTCCACTAAAAAGGCTCCAGTTCTCGAACGTAAGTGTTGTCTTCTTCTTGTTACGCCGCGCATCGTCCTATGATGAGCAATCTTTACAAGCTCAACAGTCCTAATATTACTGAGGATACCCCTTTTCTTCTTTATCTCTGAGGACTCAATGCGCGGCGATTTTTTGGCGATGTGCTGCTGCAAATGCTAACGTCAATCTCAGTGCACTGGTCTTGTCGCTCAACATTCAACTACCGCAACTTGCCCATCATCTCATCTGCTTCCTCCGCCGATGCGTCAATCCTTGCTCTGTGTCATGGCTCGGTTGTCACTCTGTGGGACATTGCGTCCAATATCTTGTTGAAGGTGCTCGACGTCCCTGCGGGCGTCGATGCGAGGACAGTCGAGTTTGTCGGAAAGGAAGGGAGGTGGTTGGTTGGCGCTGGATCCACGAAAGGACTTGTCTCTTGGGATTTGTTGTCTTGCGAGATCTCTTGGAGCTTGCCCAGCTTGCCAGTGTCCAGCTTGGTGCCTTCCACCGCCTCCACGTTCTTCACTGTTGCTGCTTCTTCCGCTGCCGGCACGTCGTTCAGGGTGTTCGACCCCACTTCTGCCGTCCCTCTCAGGACAGTCAACATCTCCCACCAATCCTCTCGTCTCCTTGCCTTGCCTTCTGCTACTGGCTCCGAAGCCGTCAGCTCCCTGCACCTTGTGTTCGTCTCTCCTTCAGGCGAGATTTACCGTCTCGGTGACCTCGTGTCATCATCATCGCGTACTGCGATCAAGAACGTCTCTCAAGCCAAGACCTCCACCGGTCTCTCCATCTGGCAGGAAATGTTTGGCAAGGGCGCCTTCCTCCAAGATTCCGAGCTCGAAGAGCCCGCTACGGCGACCGCTACCGCTCTTCAGCAACGCGTTGCCAACAATCTTGGGCGACCTGCGGACGTATTTGAAGGACCAAGCCACACTATGCCGCCTACTAGCATGCTGTTTGACGCCTTTATGGACGAGCTTTTGAGTGGTAACCAGGCGCCTAGAGAAGAGAAACAGGAGAAGTCCGTCGAGCAAGGAGATGCTATCGTGTACGAGGTTGAGGTTGACGAAAGTCGTGAGGAGAGAGATGAGACTAAGGTTTTGAAGGCGAAGGATGTTGCGGACGAGGATGTGAAGGAGCTGGAAGTGTTTTTCCGAGACCTCTTGTCTTCCAGTATGTTTCCATCGCCACTGTTGCCCTTCGATATACTGACATTCTATCTAGCACCCCGAGCGCCCAATACACCCGCTCTCCGCAAACCTCACCCTGTGCGCAATGGCCTCCCATCACACATCTCGAGCGCGCAGAACACCCCATCCCGCTCTGTGTCGACTCCCGTTCCCAAGAAAGCGAACGGTCACGGTCCCCGGGGATCGTTGTTGGCGAGTGCTAGTAAGGACATGGACTCTGACATGGGGACGCCCTCGAGTACGACAGGCTCGGGAAAGAAGAAGGCGAAGAAGAGAAAGGCGCCGCAGGAGTAAAATCACATAGAAACATCAGCATAATTCTGATAGCATTGTGCATCTGCATTTGCATTACCGGACGCGCTAGGTTACGTTCAATACATTTGTTGACCTTTACAGAGAAGCGTCCTTTGCTTTTTTGTCTTCTTGTACAAGCTCCTCGAACTTGACCCCTGTTCCCCCAAAGATGTCAAGTGAGGAACCGAAAGTCAAGTCGACTTTACCGTTAGACAACGAGTCAACCAGTGCCAGATCAGAAATGCCCTTTGCACCGCCTGCGTAAGTACATGGTATGTTGACCCACTCGCCAAGGCCTATCAGGGTCAGCAAAGTACAAAAGCTCCGGACCAAGTCACTTACTCTTGACAAGTTCTTCATCGATACCCTGACAAAGCCCCTCAACGTCTGCGGCGTGTATAAGAAGTTCAGAGCAATATCTTTCAACCATTTTGATACTCTCTGGGTAGGCAAGTTTGGTCAGCAAAGTCACATGATTGACCACCAGAGAGACCGAGTCACCTTTTGTCACAGACATGTCCGTCAACGTCTTCCATCCGTTCATGGCAACCACCCAACCATCCCCTCGTTTTCGACAACTAGTGCGAGCGATTAGCACAGCTACTAGACAGACATTCTCAAACATACCTGATGTCCACGACTAAATTGTCTTTGCCGACCTGCTTTGCAAGACGACTTAACCGGTCTTCATCGAACTTGGCGTTGGGGAAGAGGTAGCTCGTCACAATGACCTGGCCGTAATGTGTCAGCTTGAACCCACTATCTCGAAATCAAAATCACTTTAGAGGCACCCTTGTCTAGCCATTCTTGAGCATTGTCTTCGTTTATGCCGCCTCCGACCTGCATACCGCCTCGCCATGTTTCGCAAGCTTCTTGAGCAGCGGCGTCATTTCCCGGTCCCAGCTTGATTATATGTCCACCAGTTAGATTGTTCGACTGGTAGAGATTGGCAAAATGGGAAGTGGGTTTACTGGTGCGAATTGTCAGCCATACATGAGCTACTCTATGTCGAAGAACTCACGTAGCCACAAAGTTCTCTGTAGGGCCAGCCCCTGATATAGAAGTGAGATCAAGAGTGCCGCCAACGATCTGCTTGACAACGCCCTGGTGAAGATCGATGCAGGGGCGAAATTGGGAGTGTCTTCTGCTCATTTTGCTGGGGATGGCGGTCGCTACGACGCTTCTTGAATCGGCATGCATCCAACATGCATCACTTCACTTTGACTTTTCCATCTTGGGTTCGGCACGGAAGCAGATGGTCTCTTGCCGGCTGCGTAATTACGTAGAAATTTCGGTTTCTAACCAGTTCCTAACTTGTTTTGTTTCTGCCAAATCTTGATCCTGAAGCAGATCGCCTTGGGCAGATACCAGCAGCTTTACACACTCGGCTCGCATTCAGCAAAAGCTGTCGTCTCTCGGTCGCCAATATGCCTGCTCTATCATCCCTCGGACTTTCCCTCCCTCGTCGCCCTCTGTCACTGCGGCACTTTCCACAATTGGCACCCCGAGCTTCCTCTACCACCGCAAAACCCACTCCCCGAGCGGTCACTAGAGGACCTGTCCCCCGGCGTCCAGTCTTCAAGGATCCTTCCAAACCGACTGTATCAAATTGGCCATGGCGTCAGGTCAAAGCCGATACACCACACGGGTTTGAGCTGGAACGGACGCTGTTTGCTCGGCCGCCCGACATTAATCCAAGGATGTTGTCTTTGATCACTTGTTTGATGGGCTTGATGATGATGAGCTTTGTAATCATGCCCCCAAAGAAAAAGAGAGATCCTACCCCCGAAGAGATAGCAGAACTCGAAGCGAAAGCAGCCGAGAGGTAAGCAGACCAGCACTCTATCCGGACTGGTCTGATGATTTGTAGCAACATTTTCTTCCAGTATGGCGTCAAAGTTGGCTCATACATCTTTCCTTCAGCGAACGCGGTTTTGGGTACCAGCTTTGCGGCCGCGCTCATCGTGGCGCATCTTTTTGCCAGGAGAATTATCACACGCCTCACTCAGGTCCAATCCGCTCCCAATGGCCCCATCTCCCTGCGCATAACCACTGTTGGACACCAGGTCTTGGATGGTACTATGTTTGCTATGAAACCTAGAAAAGTAGAAACGAAGGATTGCAGTGTCTATTTCCTGGATCACGGTACGTGACTTCATCCTTGTGATCGGGAATAGGTACTCAACACGGTGACAGAAAACGCCACGACAGTTAGGCTACGTGTTCTTCAACCCAACGGTCTTCCCTATAGGTGGACACTCGATCGCTACGCCTATAGTCTTGATTTCCGCAGGCTGAAGGACGACTTCAAAGCTGAAGGTCAGGAGATTGTCCTCTCGGTGCCCAGATTGGACTACATCTTCGGAAAGGTTGGGCAAGGCATGCCCCGGTATAGTAGCAGGAAGTAGGTTCACGGCATTGCATGTAGTTGCATCAAATACACCAATCGGTCACAGCACATCCTGAGAAGCATGAATCTTTATGGGCATTAGGGAGCAAGAAGAGAATGGTGCTGATACATCCCTTCAGTACAAGTACAACAGCAATGATGGTAAGACCTAGGCTGATGCCCCTCCCTTCACTGACACAGGTTTCTTCGTACCCTGCTTCCAGGGCCGCTTCGCTGCCCCTTCCGTCGCCTGTACTATAGGAGTGAGGCTGTCCAGCCAGCCCCTTGCAAGATGCCCTCGTCTGTTTGCTTGAGCTTCGAGGAACTTTCTATGATTGTCGGATTGAATATTGGGGAAAAGTGCGATTGGCGGCTTTGTATTGCCCAACACGACCAAATCATCCTCTTTTGCCGGTCCGAGACTACCACCAGCAACCTTCTCAAGCAGCTGATTGATATCCAAAGATTCTCCGGGCGCAATCTTTACCTTGTGGCTCGGGGTCTCGCAAGTGAGGAAGACCTCTTTCCGGAGGATATGGTCTACGTCCACCGCCGAAAAGAATGCGATCCCTTGCGGCATATCATCGATACCCAAGTTGTAACAGAAAAGGGCCCGAGTCCACGCGTTGGCAATTTGTAAAGCCATTGCGGTACGGTACCGATCTTCTTCCTTTGCAAGGTAGCGAACCTCGTCATGCACCGAAATGAGATACCGTGCTTTGATGTCGTACTTGTGGAGGAGATACTCCATTGAAACAATCAGTAGATGTAAATAATCGACACCTGATGATTGTACGACCCAATTGACTCTCGATGGAAGATAGGAAGACCCTTCCTCCAGATATGACTTTCGGAGAGCTCGAGTGACACCGCAGCCCAGGGCAGGTGTCATTGGCCTCTCACTCAGAGCAATGGCTTCAAGGGTGTTGAACAGGTAGCTTTCGGAGCCCCCGTGCCATAGAGATGGGACGGCGGCCGGGAGTTTCTGCTTTGACCTCATCGCCTTGGCACCTTTGGTAGATTTGTACAGGTTGTCGGCCAGCTGACCAGCCGCCTCTTTGGTGAGGTTGGAGTCGCCTTGCAGCAAGAGTTGGACAGCATGCTTCTTTCCAGCGCCATAGATACGCGAGTAGTTGAAGACTTTGGCAGCATCTCTGGAGATACCCAGGATATTGGCAGTCTTGGAATGGAGATCGGTTCCAGCAGACTTTGTCCCTTCCAAGGTCATCCAGCCTATGGCCGTAGCACCATGCACTCCAAATTGTGAGTCGCCCATGACACTGGAGATCCAAAGCTCCTCCGAGTCCACATCGGCTCCGACAATCGAGTAGCCAGGAGGAGCGCGGACCATGGCTTTGAGCTCTGACCCAACGCGGTTCTTTTTGGCGTTCGACGCCGTCAACCAAGTTGCTTCAACAGCTCGTCGAGTGACTGTACCCATCGTAATGACCTGAGGGAGGATCATACCGAAATTCTCGTCTCTGTATACGACCATCTGATCCATAATCCGTTCCCTTGAACTGATCCAATAGCTGCAGAACGCGTTCATGGTGGTCGCGTCCGTAGCGGCTCTCGCAGCAACATCGTCCTCACTTCCTGCAGCTGCTGAAGCAAGCTCACCAGACTCGATGGGCTTTACAAAATTCTTGGAGAGAGGGTTGCCGACATTGTTGCCTTCGCCATCTTTATGCGGAAGCCGGAAAAAGACATAATTGGGGTCGTGGAAGTGTACGAAATCGGCATCTTTTTCGCCGAATACCACAGGCTCGCCTCTAGCTTTTGCGAGAGGATCTTTCTGAAGAGCACTCTTGGACATGCGGTATAGCCATTTATGCTCTTTGCTCGCGAAAAGCGGGAAACCTTGCCATTGTAGGCGGAGGAGCAGTGGGGCGACCGACTTTTTGCAAGTGAGGTCGAGTTGACCGGGAGGAATGCGGTGAGCTGGGCCGGTGAGGTCCCAGTACCATTTCGGCCAAGATCCATTGATATGCTCTCTTTTCTTGGGTGATTTAGCTCTTTTGGAGGATTTAGCTTCAGGTGTTGACGATACGACTGCAAGACATGAGCGTTTCTTCGTAATGAAGCTCCATTAGGACATACCGACATCCTTCAATGACCAATCGAGCTGCTGCCCCCACACACTTTCCTTCATCCCCTGCAAGTCCTCCACGCACCGCCGCAAGTCTTCCAGATGCGGACTGACATCTGCCGACCCCACCAAGCCATTCAACACCTCTGGGTACGGACTGGTCAGCTCGCCACTGGTGACAAGCTTCTTGTTCGAAGGACCGTGGAGCTTGACCTTTTTGGGGCTCCCATATCCACCTATCCGAAACAGGGCGTTATCATGCTCACATACACCGGGCAGCCTATCTTTGTCGCCTGAAGCAACAGGATCACCATGCACCGCAATATACTCTGTGAGCCGCTCTTGTGGTACCATGAAGCACCAGCCGTGTTCGGAGAGGTAAACGACCGGATGGTCTTTGTAGGACAGGCGAAGGATGAGCGGGAAAAGATAACGCTGGGAGACGTTGGAGCCGAGGTTTGAGTCATCCTTAACAATGTCGCTCAGCCATGCTGGGGCCACTGTAGCCCCCCGGGATGCGGGTGGAGAGTTTGTGTCGGCCTCTACTGTGGCGGAAGGGGGTACTGCTTCGACAGCAGTGTCATTGACGGCGTCCAGAGACGCCTCTGGGACAGCGCTCTCATTGCCATCGACAGTCCCGTCAGCCCATCGAGCATTTTTCGGTGTCCAATCCAACTGCGATATCCACGGGTCATCTTCCTTTGGTCCGTCCGCCTTGACCTTTTCCGCTAGCAGTCTCAAGGCTTTTTTGACAGCATCGTCCATCTCTCTATAAGTCGTCTCCGCGTTCTTCAAATACTCTTTCCAGCTCTGGTCCACGGGGAGGAAAGAGTTGCCCATGATCAAAACACCGGCGAGGGTAGCAGGATGGGGACACGATTCCAAAAAGAGAGGATACACTTTTCTGTAGACATCGTGCGTAATACGGACGTCATCTGCACAGTATGTCAAGAGGTCCTGCAATTCCGAGCGGAGCTGGGAAGCATGCTTGATTGCATCGTCACCAAAACGATCGCGCACAGATTTGTCGACGGGGTATTTGCAATGCAGAGAGGCGACCTCTGCTAGAGAGTTCATCGAGGTGACTTCCTCCCATCTTCTGTTGGACGTGTCTGCCTCCGTCTCGCTGGTAGCGCCAAGGCCTTGGAGGCTAGCTAGCAAATCATAATCCCCAGACTCCTGAGCGTACTCTTGCAAGACATCAAGGTTATCCTGATCTCGCTGAGTCTTGGCCTTCTTGTTTTTCCTGTATGCCATCCAAGCCGGGCGCTGGACAGAAGTGATTCCTCGGGTCGCAACATGCAAAGCAAGAGTGTCGAGATAACGTGTGCTTGTGCGCTCAAGAAAGTACTCTTCTTTGATTCTCGCGCGATCATAGCCAACATTATGACCTATGACCAGACGAGGAGTCGGAGAAGATTTTGGAAAGAGAGGGATGAGTTCGTTGGGATGGCAATCTGGTGTCGAGATATCGTAAGGGGCAGATTTCTCCGGTAGTGTATCTGGCAGGTCCTCAAAGATCCTGGACGACAGCCAGGAATACCAGTGATCCGGTGAAGCAGCTGTAGCCATGACTGGGAATTTTGACAGCTTGTATAGCGTTTCCACGTCGAACGAGACCAGAGTCTCGTCTCCGAGGTCATCGACGGCTTCCGTCCTTCCATCTGAGTAGTACTTTGTCCAGCCGGCTTTGTTCACTTCCCACGCAGCAGGCTTCTCGGGTATCCGGACATTGACCAAGTCATTGGCCATTGAGGCATACGGTTCAGCAACATGCTGACCAAGGGCCGCGAAGTGCTCGCGAATATCTTTTCCGCGCAGAGCAGGCATCTCGAAAGATATATCGGGCAACACAGCTGCGCCTTCTGGCGACAGACCATTGTCTTGCAAGTGTCGCTTCGAAATCGCAAGAAGAGATTCGGGGGGTTTTGGCAATGGCGCGCCAGGAAATAGCTGTGAGTGCAAGGAAGAAGATAGCATTTGAACACCGACAGGATTCCGTCGACTTCCTATATATGGTCGTTAGTCGCAAACCCTTCCAAGACATCCACAGACGCTCACCATTAGGCATGTCGACCGTGACGGCGGACTGGGGTGCTTGCGTCTCTTTCGTCTCTGCAAGTCCGAGCACAGGTAATTCCTTCTCTTTCCCTTTCCGGCTCTGATGGCCTGATGAAGGCAATGCGCTCCCAGACCCGTCAAACGAGTCGAGCCGATACAGGGAAGGCAGGGCGGGCCGAGCTCTTCGTACTGGATGTGGATCAGTTCTATGTCTATGTTCTCAGCACCATTGGCTCACTTCTCCTCGGTTTCACATCTTCTTTAAGAGCGACTCTATAGTCGTCGAGCTCTGCTCTCTTGGGGCCAAATGACGGGTCTTGGGCGCTAATGGCGTTGCTCAAAGAAGGGGAACTGCCCGATGACCTGGCGGACGATGCCCACCGAGCTGATACCCTGAGGCGATCAGGTCGTGGAAGCCTACAGACCTCCAGTGTTCTAGCTGCGAGCATGCTTTGTACGCTGAGGTGCAAGATGAGACTTGGAATCAGCTCACGATCTTTGAATCTCTCGCCGACGGCTTGAAATGTCGGCGGCCCTCGCCGCTCTTGAACAATGATGCAGTCGGCTATCAACCTGGCCAAAACCTGGCATCAACAACAATTTCTTCAACAATTGGCCCGCCCTGCTAGAATTACTCAAGATGGGCTTCTTCTCATTCTTCAGCAGAGTGAGTGCTTGTATACCCTCCCCTGCCCCTGCTGACCCCTACAGTCATCTCCGCCCGACTACGAGACTGTCCTTTCAAAGCTCGCCTCCGACGTCACAGAGGCAAAGACAAATCTTTCCGCAATAAGGCTCAGAGAGCGCAGAACAGCTTTGCTTGTGAATCTGTACGGTGTCTCGTTCTGGGCTATATGGGCAGGCCTTTGGTGGGTCCGCAGCTTGCCGCTGGGACTCATCAAGACGAATTACGAGGAGCTGCTTGGGCGGATAGTCGGTTTGGCTGGCATCGTGGGGACACCATTCCTGTAAGTGTATCTATATCATTCTCTCATGGTACTACTTTACTAACAGAGGGGGTTTGTCTAGTATATGGGTCCTCAACTTTGTGGTTCACGCATACTTTTCTCGACAGCGAGTTCACGAGGGTGCGTTCTCAGATAGGAAGGCATACCCATATCTGACTCCCTTCTCCAGAAACACACCTCAGAAAGCTCCTCAACCAGCAGCGCAAACAAGTAGACGAAATCAAGAAAGCTACAAATTACGACTCCACTCGCAAACTGATCGAACGGTACGATGAAGCGAACGGACTGGGCTCTCCCATCGGTCCCAAAACGCCCCAGAGACCTGGCCAAGTAACTCCTCAGCACGTCACTCCCAGCTCGAAAGGTCCTGGTGGTACTCCCAGAGCTCCAGGCCATCTTTTAGGGGCGGGTGGAACTCCCGGACGTGAGTCGCAAGCGTTTCGTGAAAGGGTCAATGAGCTAATCGTGCACACCAGCCGCACAACCCCAGACACCTCTTCCTGTCCCCCAAGGATTGTCCGTCGAACAAGCCACTGCCTTCCACTTGCAAGCTGGTGCTATCCAACCAGTCTTGCCCACCCCCGAGAAGAAGTGGTATGACCGCGTGGTGGATTCTATCCTCGGTGATGACCCTTGTGTGTACCCATTGTTCAGCATGAGTGAGATATATCTGACAGGTAGCGATCAGCTCAAGGTAACCAGAACAAGTATGCTCTTGTCTGTGAAGAATGTTTCCGACACAATGGACTGGTCGGTAGCAAGTATGAATGGGAGAGGATGCGTAAGTACAATCTACACACGAACGATTTATGGCTGATCCCGCTCGCAGAATGGCTCTGTCCCCGTATGTCTGATCCTGGCGTTCCCTCTTCTTAGCTAACATCAACAGGATGCAACCACCTCAACCCCCCTCCTCTCTCTCGCCTGCCCACTGATCCGAACCAGCCACTCTTGAACACCCCCACCCAACCATCCAAGTCTCAGACTCAGGCCCAAGCCCAGGCCCCTTTGACTCCGTCCCACGCCCAACGGTCTTCGGCGGCTTCTCCCAGAGGCCGCCGTCAGATGGGCGATAAGGGTACCCCCAAATCCTCAAGGTTGGCACAGGAGGTGTTCAAAGCGGATGATGAAGAAGGGGACGAGGGTAGAAGCGAAGAGGGTATGGAGGTTGATGAGGAGTGAGGACAGGTCTTATAGATGTAACGGTGGCATACTTTTCACCACTGCATGCAAAATGATACATGGATTGCCCTCAGGATCTCTAATGCTATACATGCAGCTATGATGTCTACGCATGATGTTTACGCTTTTCAACACGCAGCTCGCCCCAATGACGTTGAATGTCCTTTTATCGAGGCTCTATCTATTATTCGTTTGTTTATCCGCATTTACTCGCCCTTCTTCCCTCTGGTGGTGGTCGCATCAGAACCACTAGCCGTTGACAAGCTCAGACGAGTGGGTTTTATGCCTGGGCTCCTCGTTGAGAACGATTTTGTGCGCGTGGGTCTTTTGGACAGTCCACTGCCATCGTCTTCCACCTCCATACCCTCGTCCATTACATCCTCTTCCTCTTCGCCTTCTTCACCTTCTTCATCACTGTCTTTGTCCTCTCCAAACTCGTCGTCCTCTCCCTCTCTCCAGTCATAGTCCAACAGATCCTCCCCATCCTCCCCGCGAACTTCTTCCTGCCCCCCTTGTCTCAACCGCTCCACCTCTTCCCTGAGCTTCTCGATAAAGACGTCCCTCCTATCCACCCTCTCCTGCAGCTTCTCGATATACTCATTCCCAAACCTCAACAAGGCTACCTTACTGACACCCCTGTTGGGGTTATCATCCGGTACGAGAGACGATTTGGGTAAAAGCCGAGGAGCAGAAGATCCTGGAATGGGTTCGCCCGAAAGAGGATCAAGGGCTTCAGTGTTGATGGGAGGAAGGAGGAGACGTAGTTCATCGAAGCCTGCTTTGAGGGAATCCCGTCGTTTCTGCTCGGCAGCCTTATGTGAGATCTTGCGATTCTCCGGCTCCAGCGACAGAGCGGCCGCGGCCGCTGCTGCAGCGGCTTTGGTCGCTAAGTAAGATATCAGCTGGGGCCTAGAATGGTTGACGATATGCATTCACCGACTCGCACACCGACAGCTTGCGGCCTAGCAGCGAGAGCCCTTTTCCCACCGACCGGCACCGGCTTACCCGCATTCCCCTTCTTCCCACCTTGCTTCTTTGCCCCTTTCTCCGTGCTGGCCGTTTGTCCACTCCCAGACCCCTCCGCTGTAATCTGCCCGCCATCCGCTCCAGTGCTAGAGTTGCCCGCTCTCTTGGGTGGAGGTGGCAGGGGCACACTCTGTCCTCCGTCTTTCGACCCATTGCCGGAACCAAGGTTCATCAAACTCGCAGGAGTCATCGGCATGACACCCTTCCTACTCTTGCTCGACCCAGCAGGCACAGGGGGAGGCGGCATGATCTGGCTGAGATCGACAGGCGAAGGGGTAGAGGTTGTGGATGCAGAGGAATGTACTTGTTTGTGGTGCTCGAGAGCTGAAGGTGGTAGTCCGGAGTTCATAGCAGTAGGAGGCATAGAAGCGTCGGGATGGTATTTCGTCACAGCAGGACTGCTCGGTACGGAATAGTGACCAGAGACAGAATTGCGATGGTTGGACCGGTGATTCGTGGGTTTTAGCATCGGCGAGGGTCTTGTCTTGGACGGCAAAGATTGGCGATGCGGACCTGTGCCAGAACCCGTGGCATGGAGAGCGGGCGAGGATATTACAGTCGTATGGCCGGCAGTAGAGGTGCTAGCCATGGAGGGCGATTGGTAAGGCGGTTGCAAGGGATCACCCGAAGGGGGCGTGTGCCCACTGTCCAACATACCAACTAGCGCCCGTACATACTCTGGATCCATATCCGCCGAGTTTTGAGCAGTGAGCGCAGGAGACAGGGTCTGGTTCGCGCCACCACTAGACCCGACAGGATTCAGAGCAGGGGATGACATGGTACTGAGCGGGTGGGGGGTGCGTTGTTGCTGGGCATTGAAAGCAGGGGAAAAGTGGTGGTTGTGGTGGCCAGAATGGGACCGATGAAGACGGTTGGTCGCCTCCAGCGCAGGGGAAGTGAGAGGAGAGAAAATGCCACCTGGCGATTGTGTGACAGCCGGGGTAGTCGATGGTCGGGACGAAGAAGGCGATGGTCCATGGCCCAGCATATAGGGCGAAGACTGGGCCGCCATAACAGCCGCCGCTGTCGCCTGCATCTCTAGCTGTTGCTGCTGAAGCAAGGCCAATTGCTCCTGGAACTGTGCCTGCTGCTCTTGGAGTTGCTCCAAAGGAGACTTTGTGGGAAGTGCGGAAAACGAGCTTCGATGGCTGTGGGCATTGTAAGGCGCATGAGACACGGGGGAATCGTAGGCGGAGTGAGATGTTTTATGTGAGAGAGCTGGAGATATGGCGGGAGCATGGTATGACTGACCAGTGCATGTCAGTCCATCTGCCATCACTTTGACTTCGTATACCTTACATCTTTACCGTCCATGTGTTGCCAGGAGAGCATCTCCAGGTGCATCGGGCTTATCAGTTCTGCAGATCCTGTTCCATGTCAGTACTTGCTCGACCAGAGGCATCATCTGTATTTACCGGGTGCGGACGTCCCACTCGCGCCATGCTGATGGCTACCACTGCCGTGATCGTTCTCGCGCGAGGCGTGGCTCTGTTGAGAATGGCTGTTATGCAATTGAAGCGCCTGGCCAGCGGGCGATGAGAGCATCTGTGATAGATGAAAGGGTGGATTGTTGATGTCGAAGCCGAGAGGTGATTGCATATGGAAAGAGGACAGCTGTTTGGATTGATCGAGTCAGCTACCTGATGCCTTTATAACAGCATTCCCTACCTACCTGCTGTTGCAGCATTGCAGCTTGCAAAGCATCATACTCGTGGCCATTGAATATGAACTCCTGCTTCTTGCCGTCCATCACCCCTTCATCTACCTCGATCGTATGCCCTCCGTTCTGGTGGATCCCACCTTGGAAAGCTTCGTCCACGTCCGACTTTCCATGGACATGTTCTCCAGCATCCACAGCATGCCCCTGATTCCGCCGGGCCGAATTAGCGAGACCTGCTGGTTTGGGAGAGTCGACATCCGACATGGGCGCGTCGAGCTCTGACAAGCCCAGAAAGTCGAGCGAGTACAGTTCAGCGTCTTGATGGAGATATGAGGCGGAAGGAGAAGCGCCGTGCGGTGTCGACATGGCGCACTGGGTCCTCTGGTCGGAGACGGCGAGTGCTAGTTTTGGGGTAGTAGCAGGGCGTCAGCCCAGTCAAAGGACTTGGTTATGCGGTTGTTGCAACGGAGCGAAAAAGTCGAGCTGCTCCGGAAAGCTCAGACGACCTGGCACCGCGGGGAGCCGGCAAATTGGCCGATGACAGAGCGCTGCCGGGCGTGGAGAACGAACGTGGGAGATGACTCTGGCGGTGGCGGGTGGAGGTGCTGCTGTTGAGGCTCCCAGGCGATGCTGATTTTTGTGCAGGATTGAGGAATGCCCTGGGGTGAGTGGGATGAGCTGAGTATTCACTGAAAGTTGGCTGTCGGGTTTAGGTGGATATGCATTGGGATAACGATATAGCTCGCGGAAGCAAGTGAGAATGCCGGTGTCGATGCCCGCCCTCGATTATTACTCGATCAGGCAGTTTTACGCGCTGCCGCTTGTAGGGTCCATCTCGAACGCTCCGGCTCGCTCATGCATGATTGTAGCAGGGCCTAAGCTGTCCAGGGCACAACTGGACCTGGGAGCGGGTTCTTTTGTTCATTAGACAGGGGCGTCTTCTTTGTAGTCTCCGTCAGTATGTCTTAAGCCCACGGGTCGCACGTTCGTGGCAGCCAGCCAATCGCGGCCGATGAAAACTGATGCGGGCTCTCCGTTGTGCAATGTGCAGTGGGTGACCGTTACCCAAAACGCCTCGGGCCTGCCTTGTGCTGTCTTCCCCCTACCCTCGTATACAGTCCGCTTGCTAGGTATCTGCTGCTGCCACGGGGGACCAGGTCAGAGGGCAAAAAACTACCCTGCTGAAATCTCTGGACGGCCTTCCGAGCTGGCCTCGTTCCTTGTTCGTTGGGCGAGCCAGCAACTGTGACAACCGTTCAAGCAGTCATCCAGCTCATTGCTGCGATAGCATCAGCACTCTAGCCAGCTACCCACAGACCCATGCACTTATTGTGGAGCGCTGTCATTCCCCGAAGTACATCCTCACATCCTCATCGCTGCTTGGTTACTTGGTGGGTGGAATATTTACGCATTTCGTAATTACAGTACTCGAGTACAGACCTGCTACAACCGACCGCAGCAGCATTTTGATGATCGTTTCACAAGTCAGAACCATTCACGACATCCTTTCGTCGTCTACATCTATACGCCTTCTTACCATCATCCTCTCTTTCTTTGGAAGATTTATGGGACAAGAAGCTTCAGCTGAAACGTCTTCGACAAGCCCAACGGCTGACCCTTCGGGAACGATGTCGAGCAATTAGATCAAGTCGCCTCTAGGTCCGACACCTCTACTTTTCCTAACAATAGGGGAACCGGTACACGATACGACAGGATGGTCACTATCACGCCTCTCGTCGATGGCCAAGACAGAAGCATTGACGCTCGCTCCATCGTCACGCTGATCTTCTTCTTTGCCATCAGTAAGCAACGAAGAACGCTTCCTTTGCTATACTCGCGACTGACAGATGTCTTAGATGCACTAGTCATATGGCCAGTGAGGATACCAGTCACGCTATTTGTATCCAGACCATTCGGCAGATTTGTCAAACGAAGTCGCGAGGACAGAGCTACAGAACAATGCGACCTAAAGCCCGACATGTCCTCACCGGCACCAGCAACGGAGAAAGGCCAAGCGAGCACCACTCCAGAAGCGTGGGCTACTATCGACTCCCATCACAGTCCTGCAGACTCCCGTGTACCCAGCAAAAAGGTATACATACCAATTGACCTTCGGACCGCCCCCGTTATCGGCGTGCTCATCCTACTGGCTTCCACCTGCATACCAGGCTCTGTAGTACGCCGGGGCATCGTGGGGAGCGGAGGCGTCCGTCCGTACGACATCATGACGTTGTTCATATGCTTCGTGGGTGTCATCCTCCCAGGCGAACAGACCGCTGACGCCTCTAGTAGGCATACATTTCGATCTCGCTTGATGCCACTGGCTTTTTGCGTTACCTCGCCTTCTTGGTGGCATCGCGAGCGTCTCGGGGACAACGCTTGTTCACGACATTCTACTTTCTATTCGCCGGCATTGGTCTCGTCTTTGGCAACGATCCTCTCGTACTCTCGGGAACTCCATTCCTGGCGTACTTTACAGATCACGCTGCCATATCCGATCCGACGTCCTTCATATTTTCGCAATTCCAAGTGTCCAATCTCGTCTCTGCCTTTCTCGTATCCTCAAACCCAACCAACCTTGTCCTCACCTCGGCATTCGGCATCAACTTTCTCGTATACTCGGCGTGGATGGCCATTCCCACCATCGCCTCGGCCATCGTGCTCTACTTTGTGTCACGCTATATTACCTTTTCTCGGGAAGGTCTCATCCCCAAAACCATACATCCACCCGCCATCAACCCACGGGATGCCCTGTCGGACCCTGTCGGAGCTGTATTTGGTGCTACAGTGTTTGTGATTACGGTCCTGCTTCTGGTCGGGCTGAGCGCCGGTGGTGTTCTGGAAGGCAAGGTTGGCGTTTGGACAGTCACTGTTCCTGCTGCTGGACTTGTCCTTTTGAGAGATTTAGCAAAAGATTTATCTGAGCGTCGCGAGAAGCCGAAAGGCGATTCCAAACCCCTCGACCAGGCTCAGAGTACTCTTCCAACAGAAGAAATTGCTGTTGCGTCGACCGCGGCGCCTTCTCACCCACCATTCCTAGGGCTCTCGCGCGTATCCTCGGTTGTTTCCAAACTGCCTCTTGCGCTGCTTCCTTTTGCATTCTCCTTTTTCATCCTCGTCGAGGGGCTGCAACATACGGGGTGGATATCAGTATTTGGTGGATGGTGGGGGGCTTGGGAAGAGGTTGGCGGTATCGCAGGAAGCGTTTGGCTGATGGGCATGTTGAGTGTCATTGGGTGCAATGTGAGTCTTCTCGGTCTAGAAGATGTCCCTTTCATCGACTGACTCGTTCAAGATCTTCGGCACCAACATTGGTGCCACCATAATGCTTGCTCGAGTGATTCAGTCCTGGAGCTTGACGCATAGCACTGTTTCTGAACGTTCCATATACGCTGCAATCTTGACACTTGCCGTCGGAAGCAACTTTGGCGCCTACTCCATCGTGTAAGCTGCTGTTCCCTTCGTGATAGTATTGGCCTTCAAAGCTGATGACGTTCATTCGTAGCTTCTCTGCTTCTCTAGCAGGACTTCTGTGGAGAGGGATCCTACGTCAGAAGGGTATACATGTCACCGTCACTCAGTTTATGAGGTGGAATATCCTCGCGGTGATAATCACGATGGTAGTTGGCTGTCTCATCGTGGCAGGAGAGGTCTGTATAATGATAAAAAATTAGATGTAGGAGTCTATCGTGTCGGAGCTTGAGCGTAATTACGGCTGAGATGTCAATCCATTGACATTGTCTATTGTTATGACCATACCGCCACAGTCCCGTCGCACCAACGACTGCCTCCCTCTTCGCCCTTTCGACCTCAATCTTTTGTGGCGGACTTTGAGGCAAGCGGGGCTGCGTATAGCTTTTCAGGATTCCTTTGATGGCATTCGAAGGGAGAGAAGCAAGGTCACCGACTGCACATGATTCTGTAGCAACTCAGCAGGAGAAGAGATACCCCAACTTGGGCCTTCGCGCTTTTTTGCTGCCGCGGCCTGAAGGCTGATGAAGGGACGAACGAAGGACAAGCAGAGAGACTTTTGTTCAAATTCAACATTATCCACGATTGACATCTGTTTGCGAACCGATACACAACTCAACAATCATGTCGGGGTTTATATCACCTTCTTGGAGCCAGGGTCAACTGTCGGGCTCGGCATCTCCCTTTTCGTATTCTGGCGAAGATGAGCAGATGGAGTACGCATTTGTCGAGCCAGGTAAGGTTCTCATCTGGATTCATGGTGGCAATCTTGAAAGGGCGACACCAGAGTACTGTGGCTATGTTGTATGCGCCTTCACTGACCCTTGCTTGCAGGTCGGGATAGAAGCGAGCGGCAGGCCGAGCCGCCAGTTGAACGAGCCCCGTACTACCACCACTACAGTCGCGAGGGCTCGCCTTCACCATCCGAGTCAAGTGGCGAAGTGTACTACTTGGGTAAGCCAATATATCTTCTCATATAAGCCACGGATTGGGTACACACTCGGGCATAACCGACTAGTCACTGAGTGTTGACAATCACACAGATGTACCAGATGACTTTTTCGGTACCCATGGACCAGATGGCCATTTCGACACCACAAACATCCATCGTGCGCGTTCGCGGTCACGTTCAATCCCTAGGAATGCACGATCCCGATCGCGCTCTGATCATGGCCAGACCCGGTTTCCTCCGCGCCAGGTGGTTCCATCTCTTGAACAACGTAAGGGTTCCTCGAACTGCTGCGTGGGCTCGAGACGACGGGATGGCTAATCTCTAGACATCCCAGTTCGTCAATATTATCCACCCGACTCGCCATTGTCTCGATCACGATCCCGTGGTCGATCTCCCGGACGGGGAGAAGAAGGAATGCGGATGTCGGGTGCAGATACACCTTATACGCTGGGTAAGTCCTATCATCGCCACACGCGAAAAGACACTCACAATCGCGTGTCTCCTAGATCAAGATGATGGTGATTCTCAAGCCCCTCCCATTCTTCAGCCGTATCACGACCTCGAACGCTGGACCTACAATGAAAATCATACCTGGCCTCATCGACCCGAAGACGAGGAGAGAGCAGAACAAGTCGACTGGATCAAGCTGCAAAGCGACAACGATTGCAATCGTAGCATGATGGTCGTCAAAGAAGAGCCCGTGGATGGTTCTGAAATCGACCAAGACAGGAGAACGGCTTTTCAAAAGTTGGGACTGACCGTGAGGAGGGAGGAGCCTATCTCGTACAATCTCATCCAGGAGATCACCCTGCCAGTTCCGTGCCCGCCAGAGGCGGAAGATGGGGAGGAAGAGAGGACGAGTGTGTCCAAGGTCTTCATCTGGGATCATCTGGAGGGTGAACATAATCCTTATGGGTGTGGGAGCTCGATCTGCGAGGGATACCCATACGATGATAGATACCCTCCGCCCGAGTTCGAGGAACCTAGCGAAGGTGCCTGCAAACACTATCAAGAATATACCCCAGAATCTATCGCGGATGTTTTCGACATGTTGTGCCGGAGAGAGGCGTTCGCAGAGGTCGACAGGGGTCTACCACCTGATGCTCCACTGAAAGAGGTATCAATCAAAGTCGCCACGTTCAATGCCAAATCCGACCTGTCCATGGGTATCGGTGTGTTGAAAGAGGAAGAGTTGACGAGGATCCATCATGAAACCTGTGGCACCGAATTTTGCGCAGGCTCGCGTACGGAGGAGGAAGCCCGGAATGAACTGGTGGAACCTGCGTATAGAGGGGACAAGTGCCGACCCGACGTGTGGTACATCTTTGAGCCAGAAGATGGAGTGTCTCATCGACATTCAAGACTGGATCTTTATGGCGAGGCTTCCCAACTTGACGTGCTCCGCGCTCAAGGTGTTGAGCTAGGAGGGTATGGGGAGTTTGAGGAGCCCGAGACACCTGAAGGGTCTGAACCTGCGTCACCTGTAGAGCTTGAGGAGCCGGGAGAGCCTGAAGAGTCTGGACTTGCGTCACCTGAAGAGTTTGAGGAGCCGGTAGAGCCTGACCCTGGGACACCTGAAGAGCAGGAAGAGCAGGAAGGATCTGAAGAGTTTGAAGAGGAGGAATGAATGGAGACGGACGGGGTATCCGGAACCGGTACCCCAGATCGGAGACCAAGATCCTGGTTCGAAATGCTGCAGTCGATGCCATTGTCCATGTATCCCTGTTGATCCCTGCATCTGTAGACATCAGTAGTATAGAGTCTTGCCGCTGGCGCGGGCGTTGTGTGTGGGCATCGATTGCGGATTCATTTTTGTGTGTCTACTTCCTCTCCTCTTCTCTCAGCATACTTCACCCTTACTTGGCGAGAGCAGCCTGGAGACCCTCAAAGACCTCGACCTCGATCCTGGCCTCAGCCTTCTCGGATTCGGGGGCGTTGGAGCCAAGGACTCGGTTGGCGTCGGCGAGGGCGGCCTTGATGTTCTGAGTTGCAAGTTAGCGCTAGCTTTTGCGGTCGACTACGGAAGAGCGTACCTCGGGGGAGAACTTGTCGAGGGGGTAAGCCTCAACGGCGTTGACGGAGAGGGTGTTGTTGGCGTGGACAGTGGCGAAACCAGCAGAGACTGAGATACGTTCAGCAAAGTCCGCGAATCACGGCATGAGGGGTGTTTGGTCAAAAGTCCTGCCTCGAGCTCTTTTCGAGGTTCGACGTATGTTTGCACTTTGCGCGTCTGCCTTGAATGGCCATGATTCGCAGCATCGTCCCTCACGCACGCCTGCTCGTCCGCGTATACACCTCGACCGAACGGGATACCCCACCGCTCCTTTTCCTTTCTACCCTCCTCACGGGCCCCATTGGCACAAACTCTGATCAAATACCCCTCAAACGACACAACGCGACTCACTATACCACTTCTTGCTGGGCTGGCCGTTCTCCTCAATGACCTCAATGACACCGGCCCGGAGAGCCTCGACGGAGGGGACGTGGTTGGCGAGGATACCCATGTCACCAGTAGCGGCAGGGATGTTGACCTGGGTGACACCAGTAGCAGAGTAAAGGGACTGTTAATGCGAGGCGAGGCGATTGATGGAAGAGGTAGATGTAGGTTGTAGCACCAAAAGACGTGACCCGATGAAACCCGAAATGAGGAAAAGACGACATTTGCGCAATCAGCCTCGATATTCAACTGCCCACGCCTTCTGATGCCGGGGGACGCACCTGGTGGGGGAGGACCAAGCTCAAGGAGAGCTTGCCGTCGGCGGCAGCCTCAGCATAGCCACGGCGGGCGATTCTTACGGCGGAAGCTTGTCGGGGGAGGGCCCTGAGGGCGGGGGTGAGTCTGGCGGCGAACATTTCTGCGGGGGGTGAGCTGTGGGCGGGGGTGGAGATGGAGGGGGCGTACTGAGCGGGGAGTGTTACTTCTCTCTCTCTCTCTACACCCAAATCATCCACGCATCCGAGGTGAACGGCCTTTTGCGGCGTTTCACCCAGTGGCGGCAGCCTCCACTTCGACCATACAGGTGGAGGCTCAACTTTTTGGACCATGCTGCTGCACTCTATACATCCAGCATGGCCCGCCAGTCACGCCCCTTCACCGCCTCCACAGAGTCCAAACCCAAAAAGGCAAAGGCTGTACCCAAGAGGAAGCTCAACACCGCCAACGCATACACCTATATCCCAGACCTTCCAAAGCGACACCGAACGTCAGCATTCCAAAACTCGCTCTCGCACGAAGAGCTCGAAGAGGCCAGAGCGCAGAACAAAGGCAGGCACAATGACGAAGACAATGAAGAGTCTATGCAGGCGCGCGTCAAGAAGATCGCCATGATGATTGCCGGCGAAGAAACGCAAGAGGTCGACAGCGAAGAAAGCGATATCGACAGTGATGCTGCGTGGGAGAGTGACGGGAGTGACGAGGAGAGATGGGGAGACGTCGTTCGTGCGGTGCAAAAGGGAAAGGGCAAGAAGAAGGCGAAAGATGTGGTGCTGAAAGTGAGTCTGGTGCTGGACAAAGTGCGATATACTGACCGCGTGCAGCCGGCCAAGCCCATGACTGTCAACCTCGACGAAAGCGACGATGAGGCGCCCAAGGCCAAACCGAAGAAGGCTGCCACTCAAAAAGCTTCTGATGATGAAGAGGAAGAGGACGCCGAGATGTCGGAAGGAGAGGAAGAGTCTGACGAGGACGAAGAGGAGGACGACTCTGATATATCGATTTCAGACGGAGAGGACGACCCCGACACCCTCGCCGACCTCGACAGCTTTGTAGACCAGCTCGCTGCTGCAGACAAGAAGCGTAAAGCCCCCGAGTCTGAAGCGGCGTCAGAGCAAAAGAAGCGCAGAGTGCTTCCCGTCAAGTCTACTCAAGATATCAAGGAAGATGCCACTTTGAAGAGCAGTACGTGTCCGCCTCTTGATACGATCCAGCTCACACAGCGATAGGCCAAAAGCTCGACCTTTCATCCCTCATATCCTCCCACCCATCGCTTGCTGGTGCTTCCGCCCTCATGAAGCCGGCCAAGAATGCTGGAACATCCATTCTCAAATCTGGCGTCCTCCAGGCCCCCCTGCCCACTACCCAGCAAGAACGTCTCGACCGAGAAGCCGCCTATGCTCAGACAAAGACAGAGGGTCAGAAATGGTCGACTCTGATGAAGCGAGTCAAGGAAGCCGAGCACTTGTCTTTTCCCCTCCAGGCCAAGGAGCGAGGTGGTGTCAAGTCGGCAAATGAGGTGCTTGCGGGATGGAAGCCCCAAAACGAGATGGAATCCGCTGTGGATGCGCTCTTGAAAAAGGCCAACCTCACTGAAGACACGCTCAAGAAGCAAGAGGATCTGCAGATGGAAGCGAAGGATATGACGGAGGAGGAGATCAAGGAACGCCGTTCACAGTTGAGATATCAGCGAGAGCTGCTGTTCCGTGCCGAGGCAAAGGCGAAGCGAGTGGCCAAAATCAAGTCTAAAACTTTCCGAAAGCTCGCAAGAAAGAAGGCTGCCAAGGAAGCTGGGGATAACGAAGTCTCTCTTGAAGATCTGGAGAGGCTCGATCCCGAGGCTGCTCTTGAGCAGAGGGAGAAACTCGAGAGGGAGCGGGCTTTGGAGCGAGCGACACTCCGACATGGCGCCAAGAATCGATGGGCGAAAGACGTCGGTGGAGATGCTGGCGAGGTCGAAGACCGACGCCGAGCCAAGGAGGATATGCTCGACATGAAGGAAAAGTTGATGCGCAAGATTCAAGGCAAAGACGAGGGTTCGTCCTCGGAGGAGGATAGTGAGGATGAGGACGATGATGAAGAGGCTATCAAGGCCAAGGCTTTCGACCAGCTTGCTCAGCTCTCGTCCGACCCCGGTGCTGCTGCCACCAGCAAGGGTCTCATGTCGATGAAGTTTATGCAAAAGGCGCAGGAGAGGCGTATGAAGGCGGTCGCGGAAGAGGAGAGGGATGCGCAAAGACAGATCGAGTTGTTTGGTGGAGAAAAGGAGAGCGCGGATGGGAGTGAGAGCGAGGATGAGGAGCCGGCAATGGTCAACGTGGGTGGCAACGAAGGCAGGATGAGGTTTACTGGGCCAGTGCCTGTAAGTGGGCTTCATTTTCACTCGTCCCGGCGCTAATCTCAGCAGGTGGTCGACGAACAACCCTCTGCTCCCCAGCCAGCCCCCGTGGCCCCTCAACTAGCCGCCACTCGTCTTCGTTCCCCATCACCAGAAGCTGCCAACCCCTGGCTTGCTGCTTCTGCCTCCTCGGGTCCTTCGCGCAAGCGCAATGTCCAGGTCGGCGCTCAGCTGAGCGGAGAAGCCAAGGCCGTAAAGGCTTTGAAGAAGGCTGGCAAGCGAAGAGAAGATGAAGAGGATGATGAGAGAGTCGACATTGACGTAGAGGCGCCGTTGGCCAAGCCTGAGCCAAAGAAGAAGGGTAAGGGCAAGGCGCCTGCTGCGGCTGTCGAGGAGGAGGAAGAAGACAAGGAGATTGCAGACCTTCTTCCCAGTGGTGTCAAGGCTTTCCAACAGAGGGATCTTGTGGCGGAAGCGTTCGCCGGGGACAATGTGGTGGAAGATTTCGCTGCGGAGAAGGCCAGGCAGGTGGAGGCTGATGCGCCCAAGGTGGAGGACACTTCGCTGGCTGGATGGGTATGTTCATTTGTACAGTCTTGTTGAGAACGTGACTGACATCTGTTAGGGCGCATGGGGAGGCAAGGGCGCCAAGAAGCGCAAGACCAACCCCAAGTTCTTGGTCAAGACTGCCGGTATCGAGCCTACAGCCCGAAAGGACTTTGGCAACTCCAACGTCATCATCACCGAGAAGAAGGACAAGAAGGCTTCGCAGTTCCAGCTCAAGGATCTTCCTTACCCTTACACGAGCAAGGAGCAGTACGAAAAGAGCTTTGAGGTTCCTGTGGGTAGCGAGTGGAACAGCAGGAGTGGGTTCCAGAAGGGCACCTTGCCCAGGGTTGTCAAGAAGGTGCGTCGTATCATTCGAGTGTCAATGGTGCAATACTGACTTTTTGTAGCCTGGTGCGATCATCGAACCTGTACGAAGACTGTTCTAATCATACTGTTTTACTGTGTAACATATTGCATATACTCATGAACGATTTTTCTTTGAAACCTTGCCTCCTTGAACAACCTTCGGCGGATGAGCTACGCTCTGTGCTGGCACACGGCAAATAGTCCAGACCTCATTTTTGCTCCCTTCTCTGCCTCCTCTCTTGCTTCTGCCGAGTCAACATTGGTCCGATCTCCAACTTGTGCATTAGAGCAATGTCTTCCATATCAGACTTTTCTTCGTCCGAAAGCACTCGAGACATGGGTCTTTCCGGGTCAAACTGCCACCACAGATTTGTCCGGCACCTCTTTTCCCCAGAAGTAGTCTTTGTCGGCGCTACTGTGTCGGTTCTTGCTCTCGCCTGGTTGGTGGCGCCCGTGCAAAGTGGCTCTTCGCAGTCCTCTTGATGGATAAGCAATCGCTTGGTCTCGTCTCCTTTCCAGGTTGAGGACGCTTTAGGATGATCGGGGCGATAATCGAATAAGGTCGAAAGGATTGATGCCTCTTGCAAACCTGACGTACTGGAGTCTACCACCGCCTGTTGTTCACCAATCAGCATGGACTCGCTGTGCTCAGAAAGAGTATCTTATGAGCACAGTCTATGCAAGGCTTCAGGTTTGACGATGGACAAAGCAGCCTCAAACACCGTCTGGAGAAGACACCCGGAAGCTGCAGGCTATCAGCCTTGACGTGCAACAATAATTAGTACTCACCGTTGACGAAGGTTGAAGCTGGATGTCAGGCGTGGAGAGCATAGTTCGATACGCTTGTTCCGCGTCTCTTTTCGTCTTCCAGCCTGCACAAGTCGCCTCATCACAGCCCAACGGACCTCGGGGTGGCCACCTTACCCCATCCGGAACGTGAGTGACGAATGTCGCCCGTCGTCGACCTGAGCGTTCTTTTCCACTGACTGAAGAGGAGTTGATGTTTGCGGGGGCGAAGGAGGACTCTTTGAGAAGAAATTAGGGGATGATAGAAAGCTCGACCGGTGAAGACTGTGTTGAATGCGTGATCCCTAGGTGTTCAAGAGCACTTTGAAGAATAGAGTACTCGAGTAGTCTCCCATCTGGTCATCATGCGTGCTTTTACAAATGCTCACGGCGGCTCCTGCCATCGGTGATGACTTCCCAAAGATGTCTTGTGTCGTTACTCATGGCTACAGGTAAGTGGTGGTAGTCGGGTGGTACTGTGTGATGGCGAGAAAGGCCTGGCCACACAGAATTACCGGGGTTGTATGAGGGAATATGAGAATACAAAGCGGTTTCCATGCCCCATGCCTCTATGCATCCATGGCGAAAGAACGAACGTTTGTTTGGACTTGGTCGGAGATTTTACTCATACTCCTCACCTGAGCACAAGCTGAAGGACGTCTCCATTCTAGCGCGTCTCGTCAGATCAGCCTCCGTGGGCCACGTAAGAATAGCTCTCCTATAGCAACTGCTAGTGTGGTTGAGTATCTATATGAGGCTTTATGAGGTCTAAGGAGAGGCCTTGCGGGCCTTGCGCATGGGACACTTGCCATTTCGGAACATTTGCGAGGACATGATGGAGCACTTCGTTATGGTTCCCATGCCGCGTAGAATTGGTTCGTGTGTTTGCAGGATACATCAGTAGCCTGTGGGTGATCAATGCAGGACTGTAGTATCCGCCCAGATCGTATGCCCCTTCAGGTCGACCTGCGGCGGTACATATATTTGCCTGCCTGCACGCAACACACGCCGAAAAAGTCGAAGATCTCGCAAGTCGCAAGCTCGCAGTCGGACTTTCGGGTAAATGATTGGCATGGACTCGGATCTGGACCCTTGATCTGAGCCGCTAAAGGGGCCGACTTTGGATTCTCTTCCTCGTTCTGCAACCTTCGCCCCCCATGCTTGCTTTGGCCATGAATTCACGCACTGTTGTATATGTATCTAAAGTGTCCCGGCTACAAAAGGAGACAGACACCGAGCACCGAAGCGACTCACTATGACATGTTCATTTCCCGCCATTTGAGGGAATAGATTACGACAAATTGAATAGAGGGATTAACCTCGAAAGCTCAGGGAGGATCGGCCAACATGCTTTCATGCTTCATGCTTTACGTTCCAGCGAATCAGACGAGGACCAAGAATCCCCATTGGCCGTCAAAGCCGCCCCTCTCATCTAGCCGAGCGCATGCGATATGCGACATGTATCACTTGTTTGTGAGGGACGCAAGCATGGAGCTTGGGGCATGGGGGGTTGTGTGCCAAGTCAAGCTCTTGCCACTCCCAATGGGCTCTGGGCAGGACAGAAGAGAACGAGAGACGCGTTAAATAAAAGCTGAAATGATGGCACCTCCGGCGCTCCGGAAGGCCTTGACGCAACCTTGGATCTTCCCGCTCTTTCCAAATGACAGGTGGATGGATCGAGGCTGGAAACTTGCCAGGGGGGGTCGGAAAGTGAGGTCTGTAGGATCCAGACGCGTCTTGTATATGCAAAGGACTGATGGCGCTTGCGAAACAACAGATGCTTGGAGCCTTGGTGGAGCAAGAGGTTCAACGAGGGAAAAGCCGCAACAAAATACTTAATCTTTGGCGATATCTACTCCATTTCTCGCGTAATCGTTAGACTCTCTACTTGCACACCCCAGCAAGAGACCGAGAGAGCACGCCGAGGCAGCTCGCGAGAGGGTAGCCCCAGACCGCTGCAGTAAAAGTTACCCCGCGTGCTTGCCATCTTTGGCGCGGCCAGAAGAAAAGCCCCGGCCGATTTCATTATCCTCTGCGATAACCCCCGTCTTGCCCCAACCATCCGCCTTTTCATCCACCCCAGCCCCCCCGTCCGCCGTCCGCCTCTGCCCCCACGCGGCCGCCCGCAGGCCACCCATACCTCCACCCGGTCAATTACGTGCTAAGTAGCACGCTTAGGCCCTCCAGTGACCGGGCCTGGCGCATCAGCTCGAGTTCGCGCGTACCCTCGACGCCAAACTGCTCGGAGGCGAGAGAGAGCTGCAGACGGCGGAGTCCTACGAGGCAACGACAGGCGCAAGGTGCGTATTCAGGCGTGCGTCGAGGTGAAGCATGGCTGACGGCTCTTTTCCGCTCCCTTTGCCCATCCTTCGCTTCCTTGTGCCGATCTGGCTCTCGTGTTCTTCCCACCCGACCGTGTCTCACCGTCCTCTGCCCCGCTGCTTCCACCCGCCGCCCCCTCGCCACCGCTACTGATACACTCCCACCTCCCCTACCGACACATATCCAGGCAGCGAGCCACGTCACGAGAACGAGGGGCAGAAGGCACTACTGTGTATCTCATCTGATCCGTCCAGCCCAGTAGGGAAGTCAACTCCTTTGCCTTCGCACTGGTCCTTTTCAGACTACCGACCCTTTGCTTTCATTCCACATTGTCACCCCCATCCTATATCGCATCGACCCACGCCAGTGTATACGCAAGTATCACTGTGTAACCACTCGGCGCCACCATTTTCAGACGCAGGCGACGGAAGAGGGCTGCCGAGTAAGGCCGTACGGTGAGTTGGTGTATGCTAGGTGGCTCCTTCCCAGCTTATGTCCAGACCAGGCATCCACCATGGCCCTGCCTCATCCTCAACCACAGATGAACTTTCACGGGCAGATGCAAGCGCCTTTCCACAACCAACAACCTCCGACCGCCCCCCATCTCCAACAATCGCCACATCCCCAGCAGAGCCAAGCATCACTCCAAAATCAGCAACAAATTCAATTTCAGCAACAGCAGTATGGCCTGGCGAAACCACCGCAGCAAATGACGATGGGCGGCATGGGCATGAACCAACAGCAGCAACAACAACAGCAAGCTCTGCAAGCGGCCCAACAGGCCCAGCAGATGCAGCAAATGCAGTTGAGACAGCAGCAGCAGCAACAGCTTCAGGCTCAGGCTCAGGCTCAGGCTCATGCCCAGGCTCAGGCCCAACATCAAGCAGGCCAGCTGCCTAACCAGCAACGCCCGATACCCCAATCCCCTCACCATCCCACCCCTTCACCCCATATCAGCAACCAATTCCCACCGGCATCTCATTACGCGCATCAGCCCGGACAACAGATGGCGGGCATGCCCATGGGGCAAATGTCTCCGCGCTCAGCAGCAGCAAGGGGTATGCCAAACGGGCCCCAGGGAACGGCTATCAACCAGACTCAGGCGAAGGGCATGAATCGCCCGCCTGCGTGGATGCAGAATGCTATGGCCGGCCCTTCCCAGCCGCCCCAGACACAACAGGGCCCGCCACCACAGCAGCATCCACAACACGTCCAAAGTGCCGGCCCGCATCAGCGACAACATCAGCATCTACCACAATCTGCCCCCACACCGCAATCACAACCGCAGTCCACCCCACAAATGGCCGTGCAACCACATCCTTCACTACAAGGACAGCAGCCGATGCCTCCGCAACAAGGGCCGGGGCAGCAGCCGATGCAGCAAATAGGAGGGCATCCAGATTACCGGTTGGGAACTGGGGGAATGGGTCTGACCCCGTCAATGTCGAGGGGTTCTAGTGCCCCTAATCAGAACGCGCCGGATCGATGGGACGCGGATAGAGCGTACGTGAAATGCGGCGATTGTGGTACAGAGCTGACGATGGTGACAGGTTGAAGCTGTATATCCACGACTATCTGGTGAAGCATAATCTGATGGCGACGGCGTCGCAACTTGCGGCAGAGTCGGGGCTGGGGGACACTGGGGTGCCAGTCGACTCACGGGAAGGTGGCGTTCTGTCAGAGTAAGCTCGCATGACGTTCAGTCCTGAGAGACCAATGCTGACTATATACAAGATGGTGGACTCTCTTCTTGGATGCTTTTACCAACGGGAAAGGCGTGCAAGGCGTACTGAATCAGAGCATCTACAACGAGGTGAATCTCATGGGTTGTCAAATGATCTTTGCTGACGATAACAGTCCATGGGAAAATTGCGAACCATACGTCAGCAACAGTCCGGTCTCGCTCCTGCAGCCTACATCAATCAGCCGACTCAAACGCCAATTCTCCAATCGATTCAAGCTGTCTTTACCCCACAGCAACTAGAATCACTCAAGCAGGAAGCGCAGAGTCAAGGGTTTGACAATCGCCAGACTACCCAGTTCATCCAACAGCGGATACAAGAGTATCAGAACCAATTGCAACAGCAGCAGAACCAGCAGGCTATAAATCAGCAAGCTGCCATGTTGCAGCAGCGGATGGGTCATCCAGGTGCCATTGGGTCGCCAGTCCCCGGAGCTAGACCGAGTTCTCAGCAAGGCCAACCGCTCCAGGGCCAGCAGATCATGTACCATCCCCAGCCACAACAGCACCTTGGTATACCGCCCGGCGCAAGAACATCGAGCCATTCTCCTGTCAACCCCTCCCCGCATATCTCCCAACAACCTCACCCGGGGGGCATGCCTATTCCCAGCCCTGTGCAGCAGCCGGCAAGGAACCCGATGAATGGAATGGCGATGAATGGGCAGTTGAGGATGGCCTCAAACCCGCACCCAGGGCGGCCAGGGCAAGGGCCGGGGCAAAGTGATGAACAGAACCAGTTCACGCACCCCCAGGTCTCTACACCCATGCACCAGCACCCACCAAATCAGGGTCAGCTACAACAGATCCATCCCCCGCATCAGCATACACCATTACCACAGCATCAACCTCCGCATATGACGCCTCAAAGCCAGCATCTTGCGGTGAAAGGGCAGCAAGCGCATGTTGCCCAGCAGCATGCCCAGGAGTCGTTAGCTCAGATACAAATGCAAGCCCACGCCCAAGTGCAGGCTCAAACACAGGCGCGAACTCAGCAACAGCAGCAGCAGCAAATGCAGAGCCAACAAGCCCAACAACAGAGGGAGCAGGCTTTGCAAATTCAGCAGCAGCACTTGCAGAATGCTTCGAACCAGCTGTGGGAAGGTTTGGGTGTGCCCAACGTCAATCATGGCGTGATGTCGCATAGCGCGCAAAATCTGGGGCTGAGCTCGAAGGATGTCAAAAGCATGAGTGAGGACGAGAAGGTGAGTATGCTCTCCAGGGTCACCATCAATGACTGACGTACGATAGGGTCGCTTGATTCAGACGTATCGCATGACGATGCAGCATCAGCAACACCAGGCGATGCTCAATGCTCAACATCAGCAAATCCCACCGCAACAACAGCCTCAGTCTCAGCAGCATTTGCAGCAACAGCAACAGCAACAGCAACAGCAACAGCAACAGCAACAGCAACAGCAACAGCAACAGCAACAGCAACAGCAACAGCAACAGCAACAGCAACAGCAACAGCAGCAACAGGCTTATCTCATGCAGCAACATCAGCAGCAGCAGATGTATCAGCAGGGACAGGCTGGCCCTCGGTAAGCTTTTCCTGCAAAACTACGTGCATTACTAAATCTATTGTAGGCAAGCTCGCAATCATCCCTATGAAGTTCCTCAGCCGCCCGATGACAAGTCTGCGCCTACGCCGACTGGTCCCGGCCAACGTGCTCCCACACCAGTTCAGCCAAATATGACTCCTTCCGGTATGAGACAGCCCACACCGCCGGAACGGAAGAGGAAGCGGAAGAACTCTGAGGGTGCGGCACCAAGTCCATTTGGTATGACATATGGGCCTGGGTCTCAGCAAGGCGCTACCCCTGGAGCCACTCCTCTCACACCTGGCTTCGCCATTACTACCGATCCTGTGAGTTATCCACAGCATCTCAATGACATGTCCTGACGCATCGCAGATGCTGCGCTCTGTCCCGGGAACGGCACCGCCCCAACATCCTACTGCTTCGCCACGGCACACGACCAAACGTGAACGGCGAAATCAAGCACAGGGGCAAGGAGAGATGCTTCCACCGCGGACGGCGACGCCCAAACCGTCCGGCCCTGGAATACCTGAAGATGGCCAAAAGGATGGTACAGGCAAAGAGGGCAAGAAGGAGAGCAAGGCTGGCAAGGCGGGAAGAACGCCCAAGTTGTCAAAGGAAGATATCCAGGTACGTGCTACGGTCATATGGACATCGACAAGGCTAATCCTCGACCAAGCGCGAAGCACCAACTCCAAAGTCTCTCAATCCGTCACCAAACGGCAACATCATCGCTGTCACCGATGGGAACCCCCACTCGACGTCAACGCACGGATTCACCCCTTCACCTCCATCTGCATCTACTGCCACGCCTGCTAATGGCGCGATGCCGCTGTCCTCTACACCTGCAAGTAACCAGATGTCCTTACCCGCCGACTTGTCAATGACCAACATGGACTTTGGCAATATGGGACTAGGAAATATGGGCTTGGGAGGTATGGGGATGGAATTTGCCATGGGGATGGGACTTGGTGCGCTCGGGGGCATAAATGACAACTCTCTCGGTGCTGTCAACAACGGCCAGCAGACTCCTCTGGGGGGCGATGTTGGCAGCGACTTGGATGCCTTTGCCGGCATGAACCAAGACTTTGACTTTGGCCTCTATCTTGCGGCGCTGGATGAAGACGACGGCAGTGGTAACAACAACCACAATAACAATAACAACGATAACAACAACAACAATAGTGGGAATGGCGAGTTGGTCGTCTGAGGGCGTATCTTGTGTTGAGCCCCTTTGTGGAGTCTTCGTTCCAAAAATATTGTCTTATCTAGTCTTTCTATCTCTATCATCATCATCATTGATTTTCTTTCCTGATGGCTCGTATCTTTCTCATGTTTTGTCATAACTCGGGGTCTTATCTCATGTTTCATACACATCACCGTCATACTTTTATATTGCGTTCTCTTGTTTTCATTTCTCATCCGTATGGCCATATTACGGATGCGTCTGTTTTCCATATTGCGCATTGACAGCCGCTTATTATGCACTGTTACGACCTGCACTATCTGGTCTACACCCTATTTCTGATGACCACAAATATACATACAAAAACAACAGATTATCCAAAGATATTGCCGAGTACCCCATCCATACCCTGCCCTTCCAGAGTTTTGCTCTTCTCTACGGCTTGCCTTTGCTTGTACCCCCGTGAAGCCTTGGTGTCATCCCCGGTTGAGGGAGCAGCATTCCCAGACTCGCCAGCAGCAGCCTTCTTGGCGTTGCGCTTTTCCAGCTGCCGAGCGAGATCAACATTCTTCAAGTACTCTCCTTGCTCTGTCTTGGAGCGCGAAATCTCAGCACGTAGACGAGCCTGATGAGCCTGTTTCTCGTATGCTGAGCCAAGTCAGCTATTGCATTCAAAGGGAGGATTGTTGGCTCTCACCCATCTGTTCACCGAGCATCTCCCACTTGAAACCGCTCAGATACTTCATGGTCCATATGTCGTCTCTCCATCTACGGGGAGATTAGTTTGACCTGAGTAAAGAATGCAATGTCGCTCACTTGTCACCCTTCTTCCCACCAATCACTTGAGCGTTCAACATGGAAGCCACAGTTTTGGCTACAGATTTGTCCAAAAACTCCACCCAGGCCTCAGAGTAATTGGCGTTTTGGTGCTTTTGCTTCTTCTTATGTTGACCATTGGGATTGTAGCTGGTCACAGCTGTGGAAAGATGAGCTCGGCAGCACGAACATTTCGGCATCGCACATACCATCTTTTGGTTGCGCATACAGCTTTCCCAGATCTCCCCATCGAACCATAAGATGCCTGATCTTCTGAGGTGTCATTCCTGGAGGTAGTCGGGAGATATATACAATTCCAGGGGTGACATCCTTCTTCTTCTTCTTCTTGGGTTCTGTTGTCAGAGGACCCGTCTCTTGCTCTTCTGATGGCAGTTGAGACGTCGATGCGGAAGCAGCACTGGGCTCCTCTAGCTCCACTGAGCCTACATCAGATTCCCTCGAGCGTTTGGTTGACTTGACAGTGGGCGTGGCCATGCTGGAAATGGTGAAACGAAGTGATACATGAAGAAGATAGTGGTTATAGGTGCGCTCAAAAATCCGCCATACTTTTGCTTCCGTTCAACTTCCGTTAATCCTTGTTGATGCGACCAACAAAAGTGTGAAAGTGACACGATCCTAGTGTTTTCTCGAATCCCACCGCTATGAGTTTCAATAACGGATATGGTCAGATGCCCGGAATGGGCTTCGGAGGCGGCAATGGAGGAAACTTTGGTGGCGGAGGGTTTGGCGGCGGCTACGGCGGGAACTTCGGAAGCCCAGGAGGTAGGGGACGAGGAAGGAGAGGTAAGCTATCTCTCTGTCGAAATGTGTAGACGTTGACCTCTGTCCTAGATAACAACAGAGGAGGTGGCCGTGGTCGAGGTGGTGGAGGGCACGGAGGTGGCAGACCACCTGTACCCGAAACTTCCGACAACCGATTGAGAAAAATGGTCATCAAGCTCGGAGACGATGAGGTGTGTCTAAGCATGCTATGGACGTTTTGGGTGCTTATAATATTGTGTAGGACTTTGATCCTATTGAAGATCCTGCCAGACTATCAAAAGTACTCAAGCGTGGCTGGCAAGAAGGTACAGTAGGCGTACTCGAAGGGTTCCGTGTCAGTGTCACGCAGCAACCTCACAAGCATGGCTGCTACGTGGGACTTTTGAGCGCTCTTGCCCGCCCGAGTGAACCCACTCACGCAGCCACAACGGAGGAAAACAAGTCTATTGATGAGGACAAGACGTCTGCTGAGCCTGCGTATGGCAAAGAGATCTTGGATGATCTCAACAGAGCCTTCAGGGGATGGGTAGAGGCTAGAGAGTGGCAGAATGTCAGATTATGTGTGAGTCACCTCTCGAGATTGATATGTTGTGTTCTGATATCGCACAGTTGCAATTTTTTTCGCTGCTCCTCCCAGCTCAGCTTGTCACTCCTTCGTCTCTCCTCTCTGTCTACAGCACTTTATTGAATGTCATCGACGAAGTAGGAGGTGGCGGTGACCGGTCTGAGCGTGCTGTAAGAGCTGTTGGTGAGGGCATCATTCGCGTATGTTGATTATGAGCTCTCTGGTGTGAGGCTGACAGAAACCACAGTCTGGTTCTGCCTTGGCAGAAGGAGATGCTACTCAAGTGGACGCTTTTGTCAGTCGGATCGAGGGTTTCATCCTCGGTAGGCGAAACGAAAGCAAGTCCCTCCACAGTCCTGTGGCTCCCATCGTTGCTGCTGGCCAAGAACAGCCCCAGTATCCAGACGTGCGTGTATCCCCAATATTCTACGGGAATGTACTCACTTTCTGTAGGTTCTTGACAACCTCTTGGCGGCTCTTCACGCTTTCCAAGCCTCCAATTGGGCTTCCCCCAAGATTGTGCCCTCGTACATGCGCGAGATTGTCCTTTTGCCTGGAGCTGCTCCTGTCGCTTACGAGCTGCAAGACGTCTCTATGCCCCCTGAGCTGTATGAGGAGGATGCCGATGATGCGGAGGCTGGTGAAGGGCACATTGGCGTACTCAACTTTTTTGCTGACGATGTGAGTACCAGTCTTTGGAAGCGCGGTCTGCTGACAATACAAAGATTGTCCCCTCTCCTGGCTCTGTCGACGGATGGTCCCTCAGGAGTCTTGTTCTTGACATCATCAACCTTTTCGAGGTCAACCGCAAAGAGGCCTCTCATATTCTCCTCGATCTTCGCAAGTTCCTCCCTCGAGACACTTTCAAACCCGCAGCCCAGCCCGCCGATGCCCCTCCCCCTGTATCCACATGGTCTCTCGAGTCGCTCATCATCTCTTGCCTCCTCAATGCTATGCTCTTGCTCCCCAAATCTCAGCACAAGCTGGTCTACTACGGGTCTGTCATTGCGGAGCTTTGTAAGGCGAGCCCCAACACTGTCGCACCCCCTGTTGGAAGGGCGATGAGGAAAATCTACTCGCTGTTGGGCTCTGAGGGGCTTGATGTGGAGATTGTGAGGAGGATTGCAGACTGGTTTGCTCTCCATTTGAGTAACTTTGGTTTCCAGTGGATGTGGAAGGAGTGGTAAGTGCTTTTCATCCCGCTGCCGAATGTACTGACTGTCCTGCAGGGTTGCCGACCTTGACCTTCCTCTGACCCACCCCAAGAGAGCATTCATGCGTCGGGTCGTCGAGCTTGAAATCAGATTGGCCTACTATGACCGTATACTGGACACTCTTCCCGAGCCCATGACCGCCGAGAATGCCGGTGTGATTGCCTCCGAGGCTCCTGATCCCTTCTGGGCCTACGAAAAGGACGGTGAGTATACGATTACAGTCACGGTCGAGGCTGACACTGCTCAGACCACCCTTTGCATACCGAAGCTACTGGACTCCTTTCTCAGATGCGACAAAAGTTACCCAGCGCCGATATCATCAAGTACATCACTGAGCTGCCTGACGCCTCTTCCGGCCCCACTGAACCCCTCTTCCCCGCCATCCGCACCATGGCTTTCGAGACCATCCTTCAACTCGGTTCTCGATCATTCTCCCACTTTTTGAATGCCACCGAGCGATACAGCGATGTCCTCCGGTTCTTGACGCCCGATTTTGAGAGTCGCCGAATTTTGCTGAATGCTGTCAAGTCGTACTGGCGCCGATCTAGCGAGATGCGACTTGTCACTATCGACAAGTATCTTCAGTACGGTATCTTGGAAGGAGCGGATGTCGTCGAGTGGATCTTTACCGATGACGATGCTGAGGGGGAGGAAAGCGCTGGATGGACGGATGGAGACAATTGGGAGGTATTGGCAATGACTCTGGACAAGCAGGTTGGGCGGGCGAAGGCTATCAGGAGAAAGCTGAGGGCTGTCGAAAGGGAAGATGAGTCTGCGAGGGCTAGGAGAGCGGCTGATAAGCTCGAACAAGATGAAGACGTTGAAGCGGACGAGATGGCCGAGGGTGAGTATAATATACCTGTTGGTGACATGGCGCTAACATGATGATTAGACGCTCGACCCGAGACTTCCAAGGAAGCCCGAGATGCCCAAACATCTCTCGATGTCCAGACCAGCCGCCTTGAGAAGCTCCTCAACAAGACTTTCAAGCACTTTATCGTTGCTCTCCTTCCCTGGACTGCTGCGGACCAAGACGAAGGGGAAGCTGGAAATGCCAACGAGGGCCTCAAGGGGGTCTTGACGCTGCTTGACAGCAATGAGGAAGGTCTTTGGGGAGTCAGGGCCAAGTGGGGATGGTACAGGGAGTTTGTCAGGAAGGTTGGTCGCCCTTTCATAGTTTGTAGTTCCACGGCTGACTGTCTTTGTAGTATCAAAGCCATCTTCTCCCCCTTGCGGAGACTATCGACTCTGCTAACTTTGCTACGTTGACCAGGGCAGACGATGGGTCAGCGGAATCGAGGGCTGAGAAGATGACCAGAGGAGTTTGGGAGGTTGTGCGAGCTTGAGCAAAAGTACAGCCCTTTGTGTAAAAAATGTGCAGTGCAGACCAATAATATCGCTACGATGCAAGAATACATACAGTGAACAGTCACGTGTAACGGCCCCTGGCTCTACATCGACCCTTGATCCATGCCGAGCTATTATGACTTGATCTTGCAAAAAGCGTCCATCCGGAATCAATTTGACATCAGCCGCAAGCGCGGTGTCCAGACTTTTAGCGATGTTGTTATCGGCCATCATCACCTCACCGGATCGGCCCGAGCGGCCTATCTATATAACAAGAGGCCGCACATCTCCCCTCTTTTCTCCAGTCCCATTGCATCCATCGCATCATCATGACCCAAACCTCTTCTGACCTCGCGCTCGCGTCCAAGACCTCCCGGATTGTCATCGTCGGAGGGGGCGGCACCATGGGTTCCTCCACCGCCCTTCATCTCGTACGAAGGGGCTTCACCGACATCACCATCATGGACGTCTACCCTATCCCTTCGGATAACTCCGCAGGGAACGATATGAACAAGGTTTGTCTGCTTTTGCCGTCAGGACTGTACTGAATTTGAATAGATTGCTGGCGCCGACAACATTGATTCTTTCGGCGGTACCAGTGACTCTGCGTGGGATACCTGGGTCAAAGATCCCGTCTTTAGCCCTTACGCCCACTCGGTCGGCAAGGTGTGTTAATCCCTGGACCTATGCAGGATTCAGTGCTGATAGCTGGCTAGTTGGACCTCACAGAGAATGAGGGCCGAGCTTCAAGACTCAAAGCCAAGTACGAGAAATTCGTCGCCCTGGGACGCAAAGACTTTGAATGGCTCGAGAACGAGGACGACATCAGAAAGCGGGCTCCTCATCTGAAAGATGCTGATATCAAAGCGAGTCACAACCTTTTTTCCTGGAAGACTGCTGACCAACAATGAAAGGGGTGGAAAGGTCTGTACTGCGCCACAGGCGGCTGGGTAGCCGCTCGCGATGCCATCGACTCTGTTGGCCGGGAGCTTCAAAAGGCTGGGGTTAAGACTGTCTTTGGTCCCTCGGGTAATTTCGATTCGCTTGTATTTGACAATGATGGCAAGACTGTCAAAGGTGTCAAGGGCAAGGATGGGTCGGTGACAGAGGCGGACCTTGTCGTGCTCGCAGCTGGGGCTTGGTCTCCAGCTCTCGTGGACCTTCAGGGGCAGTGTGTATCCAAGGTGAGTGGATGTCTGCTTCTACGTGATCCGCAAGCTTACATCGGTGCAGTGCTGGGTTTATGCCCACATTCAGCTCACCCCCGAGGAAGCCGCAGCTCTAAAGGGAATTCCCACTGTCTACAACGACAAGTACGGCTTTTTCTTTGAGCCCCGGGTCGAAAACAACCTCCTGAAACTCTGCAACGAGTTTCCTGGATACACCCACTATGTTCAGCATCAGCCGTTCGACGCCAACGAGCCCAAGAGGATATCGGTCCCCCGGTCCCACGCCGACTTTCCCTCAGACACTATGCCGAATGAAGCTCTGGATGAGATAAAGAGGCTCGTGCGAATCGCTCTGCCCCACCTTGCTGGGCGAGAGTTGATCAACCAGGCGATGTGCTGGTGCACTGACACGGCAGATGCCAATTGGCTTTTG